CAGTATAGAAGTGCATACAGGGGTGGCTTCCGAGAAGTAATTTATGAATAGCTGTTGATGGACCTTTTCATATAAAATCAACCTGTACATTCCAATACCTAGCGCCGTTGCGATGCGATTGCAAATGGGAAAGCCAAAAGTTCATGAGAAAGACAACAAAATGCTGAATCACCCTCGTACACATCCTATTAGTTCCCTCTTATTTCTAGCTCAGGGGCGTGCCATTGGTTTCTCAGTCTTCTCTATCGACTCCTGAGAAGAAAACGAACAGTACTTGTCTTTGATTGCGACAACTTCATAGGTGCCTTCATCGGATGTTTTGATGCTTTTTGTGTGCTCATAAGAGATATCGTGCTTGATGTCGAGTATCTCGGGCTTTCTGCCTCTTCGAGTATTCGAGCTCCGGATATATCTAACGAGTAATTAGTTAAACCATATTGATAGACAAGATAATGAGAGACATACGTAAATTCGAATGGTGGTGTGCCCCAGAATTCAAATTGAAGTTCGGCCTCTCCTCCTTCGTGTATATCAACAACCGAGACTTGGCCCTTGCTGATTCTGACACTCGGCATCTCATGAATTGTCTTTGTTATATTCTTGTGTGCCTTGCATTTTCCACTTGCGCCGTCACCTACAGCGGTGATGGTGAAGACTCCTGGCCGCTCGGCGATCCGACGGAAATTCGTGGTCTTGGAAGTAGCCTTTTTGGATGCACCGTCGAAAGTATAGAAAACGTCAAATGGAGCGTGGCCAGACAATGAGAAAGAAAGGCGTTCGCCGACACAATAATCGGTCTTTGATTCCAGGGGGATGATGGTGGGCACATCCGAAACCGCGACCCTCACCGAAGAAGAGTCGAATTCGGTTTCTTGCTGGCATCCACGTGCATCTCTCACTTTGCGGATACTAACGACATGTTGGCCCAATTCAAGATGGCGTCGTGGAATAGGCAGATTATGCCTGTTGGACTTGATATTTGGGATCGACACAATTTCTGGCTTGGCTTTCGAGTGGTGCTTGATGGAGATTTCGAGGGAAAAGGGCGGCACGCCCTCCAAAGTAATGGGTATCAATTCCTCACCACTTATGTCTTCTTTGCAGAAACCGTAGATACGACCAGGTGAATCAAACCGCGCAGAGGGTAGGGGATTTACCCTTTGCGTCACGACAACCGGCCGGCTGCGAGGGTCATGGTCGTAGAGATGGTCGCCGACTTCTGTGAATTTGTACGTATAGGAACCAGCTTCCGACGTGTCCATTTCCATGGAAACAGCATTAAGGGCTGTCTTCAGACTCTGTAGCCTGACTGACGGTGAACCACGAGATGTCTTGCGCTGCTGCTCGTATTGTATGTCATATGGGGGGTTACCCGACAGCCGAAGCTCGAGACTATCATCTTCGCCTTGACAAACGTCGCGTTTCGTTACGTGGCCATTGGCGCCAACCGGAGAGCCATCCACTGTCGTGATATGAGGACGAGGTATCCAGGACACCTCAAAGATGCTGGCTGACTGGTCTACAGAGCCAGGACAGGAGCTATCAGCAACGTCCACGAGTTCGTACCGCCCTTCTCGAGCGACAGTCAGCACGCTGTTTTCTTGCCAGAGTGTCTTCTCAAGAACAGCGGAATTGGTATCCAAGTTGCGATATCTGACGTTCCATGGCCTCTCCCCACTCAGTCTGACCGGAATGTCAAGCTTGGAGTCCTGCAAAGCCAAGTACTTCCTACTCTTTTCAATCTGGCCGAAGGATGCGTGCGGGGGCTTCGAGCGAGCGTCAATCTTGATAGTGTCCCTGAGAGTCCGCTTGCAGTTCGAACGATCCTTGACGCCCGTCAGCACAATAGCATACTCGCCGCCGCTGACGAGCTTTTCTGTCACAATTGTGGCCATTTCGCTCTCGGAGACCAAGGAATACTTTGTCTTCTTGCCGTTGTGGACGAGCTCGTATTGCAGCGTCCATGGCGCTTCGCCCAAGAAGGCTACGTCTACGGACACTGGCTCCCCAAAGCAAGCCTTGCGCACCTCCTTGTTCCCGAGGAAATGAGCAGAAGCTGGAGGTTTCACATCTTGTTCTAGGACTGGTACTTTGTCCCTGAGAGATTGTGGAGCGTAGACCGTGTCCGCGATGTCCAAGAAGCGGTAACGATAGGCGCCTGCCTCTGAAGGGGTAAAATCCAGCTGAGCACGTAGTCCGTCAATAGTCTGGGACCTTGTCTCCACGCCTTTCGAGTGTTCAACAACATATCGAACCCGGAAAGGTGGCGATCCAGTGAGGTCCAGATCAACGAGTAGACCGACAGGGTTATTGGCGCATTTGTCAAAGATCTTCTCATACCTGATAGCCAGCTCTGGTTCCGGAGGATTGCGCAGGTAACAAGACGAGGGTTCCAGCGTTTCTCCAGAACAATATTGGCTCGAAACCGAGTTCAGGCTGTACCAACCCGGATCCTTGATCTGAGGCTTCTGGTCAAGACTTTTGAATGTGAGTTGACGAACTTTATTAGGCTGTTCACTTGGAAATTCCTGATCGCTATTGCTGAACGAGTATATCAGAGTAAAGGGCCCATCATTGCCGTAACCTTGACCAGAAGGATGGTAGTTTAAGGGAAGGTCAACGCTGTCGCCACGTGCAACCTCTAGGAAGCTCTGGTCATTGCAACCAGTCAATGACAACCGGGGCCTCTCGTGGACCGAAAACTGATGCCACTGTGATAGGGACTTGGTCGAGGATCGATCAAATACATCCAGAAGTGCTGAATAATTTGCGATGTTCCCTGCACCATCATGTACCTCTTCAATGCTGTAGAGCCACTCCCCGCCCACATTCAGTGACTCATTCAACGGAACTTCAATGATTTGGCTTTGAGCCCAGGCGACTTCGGGTTCTCTGAAATTGAAAAGGATGCCAGAGTTTCTCTGACCCAACAATGGCGAGCGCAAATTATCGGGATGTATGTTTTGGAACGAAAATCCTCGGTCAAGTTGGTTCACTTGTCTGCTGTACTTGATCTTCAATGGCGGCGTGCCTTCGACCGCTAGTATCAGGTTTGACAGTTCTCCTCGACATTTATGAGTGTGCGAGTTCTTAACCAGCGCCCGGGGACAAGAGACGACAAGAGCATCAGACGAGCGCATGTGTACATCAAGGTTAGACTCATCTACTACCCTCTGCAGGCGATATATGCCCGGTCGCCGAGTTGAATAGAGAAGATCCCGATGAAGGTCCGAACTCGAGCTTTGGTGCCTTTTCTCTGCCTGCTTCTTCATCTGCTTCAACTGTTTAGACGACAGGACGATCGTTTCATTCGCGCCGGTCTCATAATCTAGACGTAACAACTCGATAAGGATAGGATCTGTTTGATTGATTCGAATTGGCAAATCGATGGCAGTTTTCTGTGCGTCAATGCACAGTGGTACTTGATCCGGGTTTAGAATAGCCGAACTGCATGATCCTGTTAGCGGATTCCAAGAGATGTTATTCGCCACCCTAGGGGCTCTCACCCTTCTGGAAGTATATGAACGATCTGCTTTCCCAAAATAAGAGATGCGTTGTGAATGATATCACCAGGCTTCACACTTCGTTCAGAAATGGATAACTCTCTATCGTAGGCCAACTTGACCATGCCAGCGATCCATGTCCCCACCGGTATCTAATTACGAGTCAGCAAGCTCCACGTTTTACTGCGGCAACGTGGACAAGCATACGGGGATTCGAAACATCAGAAATACATTGCCGACAACGTGAATGATGAAGATTGCAAGCGTAGTGGGAAAAGCCCATTCTAACCACGGGATGCGCAACGCCTGTAGACCGAAGAGAAAGACACCATCGACAGCAGCCCATTTGAGGAATAACCAGGTCGAGTCCAAGTCATCAGATGCCGTCCAAGACTCATATACTCGCCAAGCATTCAGAGCAACATAGAAAGCCGCAATATAAAGTCGCTGCGACGGGGCATCTATAACCCCTACCGGTATGAGTGGTCGATTGGCATCTTGTGCGGGTGTCTTTGTGGGAAACTTCGTCTGCTCCAAATCCCGGGGCTTCGATTTAGATGTGGAATAGCTCAAGTCTCTGATCTTCGGGGTTCTTTGTGGTGTCTGCGGGAAAGCAGACCGAAGTCGAGGAGTACCGTTCATGGCATGCTGCGGTCAATCAAACATCCACAGAGACCTGTAGTAGAAGCACTAGGTGAGCTTTATGTGCTCTGGAGAGAATGCTTTGTGGAATATGGATCGGTTACTCACGAGAGATGCTGAAGCCGGCTGTTGTCTTGGACTCACCAGGGGGAGCGGTTGTTGCTGAGCCGCTCGATGTTGCGAAAGAAAAGAAAGCGCGAGGGAAAAAAAAGAAAACAGGCTAGTTAGTAGGTTGAGCTCGCGCGTATTGAAAGAGAGCTTTGGCACACAAATAACGTAGTCGCGTTGCGAACCTATAATTTTTCTTTTATAAATTGGTAAATGTGTTTGTCAATGTGGATGGAAAGTCCCGAACAATAGATAAGTGGTGAATTACCGGGACCTGGACAAAGTAATAAACGCAAGGGTTTAGCTTTTAGCTGTCGGAAGTGCTCCAGTTTGCAGCTTGGATCCCGTTAATGATGTATGAAGATCACGTGCTTTACGGTGGAAACAGGCCCATTGGATGCTTTCGCTAACTAAACTAGTACTTACTGCTAGTAGAGCGCGCGTCTGTAAACGCGTGTCGCTTATAGCAGATTTAGGTACATGGTATATAAGATATTACTATCCAGGATAGACCTACCTGGGATGCAATGGGAGCCGTGGGTAGATTTCTCGGTAGTCGTTTACAAGGTCACTTCTTCGCATCACGGGACACTCCATATTTACTACATAGATAGGTGCTGCGGGAAGCCGTCAGGTAAGTACTGGTATCCCAGTTACTCCGTGCACGTGGTGTAATACTAGACCACGGAGGGTGCTCCGTGGTAGTCCCCCGGTAATTGTGTTACACAGTGACTCCTCTTCCATTTTCTCTTCTAACAGGTAGGAAGGCAGCTAGTAACACGGCAAACCCTGGCACGCCGGTTCCTCTTAACTTGGCTCAGGAGACTTTCCACGCTTCTTACTACTGCCAGTAAGACTACGGACAATTTCAAGTGATCTCTGTCCCCTCTGTATGGCTTGAGTCGCTAAATGCTCAGCCCTGTGGATCCAGGTTTTGCTTGGTTCCCACCTTGCCTCTTCCACTATCTATAACCCCCGAGCTAGCTAGGGACCTACTACTAGTATCATGACCCATCAGGCCAAACGACGACGGGTTGGAACTCAGCCAAATGCCACTGTAGGCAATGGCATCGAGTGTCTGGACGGCTCATACTCACCAGCATCGAAATTCGATCAGGATGCCTGGAATGGATTCTGTGAGCTGGAATCGGAACCTGTATGACTCTACGACCAATATTTTTTTTTCTTTTGCTTTCCACTGTGTTGAGCGGCGCGATTGATGGTCTCTCTACAGGCTCTTTTCAATGTGATGCTCCGGGATTTCGGCGTAAAGGGGGTCAAAATTCAAGAAGTCGTGTCGCTTGACGAGGAGATGATGACATTTTTGAAGTAAGTGCCATACCACAGTTGCTTCATTGTTTACCAAGCGCTTATACACCCACAGTAAACCCATATATGGTCTGATCTTTCTGTTCCGTTGGCGCGAGGATGATTCAGATAAGCAAGAACCAAGCTGCCCGGAGGGCCTCTGGTTTGCTAACCAGGTCGGCTTCCCTGTCTATAGGTCTAGCCCTGGAGCTTGTCACTGACATTGGTAACCAGACAGCCAGCAATGCTTGCGCTAGTGTGGCACTTCTGAACATCGTCAACAACATTAAAGGTATCGACCTTGGGGAGAATCTACGGAGTTTCAAAGACTTTACCATGCCGTTCACACCCGCACTGAGGGGAGATGCAATAAGTAACTTCGAGTTTGTCAAAAGGATACATAATTCATTCGCGAGGTAATTGCTTCGTTCAGTGGGCAAGCACTTGATTAATCTGGCAGCAGGAAAATGGACATGCTTAGCTCAGACTACCAGCTTAAAGCCGAGGCTACATCCAAGCGAAGTCGCCCAGTCAAGAACAAGCCTGCAGATAATAAAGCAGATGCAAGTTTTCATTTCATTGCCTTCGTCCCTGCCTTGGGTAAAGTTTGGAAGTTCGACGGCTTAGAACGTCAACCTCAGGCGCTTGGTGAGTCAGTCAATGATATTACGGTAAGTATCTGTCGCTGACTGGACCGGATCCGTAGGCTCTTGCGCATCAGACGAAGATTGGCTGAGCCTGGTAAAGCCTGATATTCGTACCAGAATGGAGGCATATGAAGAAGATCAAATAGAGTTCTCCATTCTGAGTGTTGCTAGAGATCCGCTCCCTGAGCTTGTCGATCAATTAGCTACCAACGTAAAGAGCCTAGAGATTATTCAAGAGCGCTTGAGCTCGATTCACGAGAGCTCAATTGACCTTGAATCGACTCTGGCGGATTCAGTAAGCGAAAATACCATCCTGGGGCCGGACGAAAGCTATACGTTGACAAGGGAAACCATTGACCAAGTGACTGTCCATAAAACTCAAGAGAGAGAATACCAGACATGCTCAGTGGAAGAACTTGTTCATCACCGGCAGAGGCTGGGTCATGCTCAGCAGGACCTACGAGCAGCAATCCGAGAAGAGCAACAGTCTCAGCAGGTGGATGAGGACTATGCGGAAGGACGAAGATATGATTATGGCCCGGCCATTCGAACGTGGTTACGTTTTCTAGCACGAAAAAGGCTGATAGAGGACTTGTTGTGAAGACTCCATCAAAATGATCGTGTCGTTTTCGTTTGCCTTGTCGCCATTCTCCAGAGAGGGGGTTTGAAAGGGGGTGGGGAGAGAATAATGTTTGTCTGTTGTACGTAGAGCGTGCACTAGGAGCACTTCACCGGGAATGACCACATTAGCGTTGAATGGGCACAACATAGCATTTTTCGACAGACGATCGTTGCTGTCCGGTGACTCTTATTACTCGGTCATCGAAACCATGGAGGCTGTGGGAGATGTCATGATATGAGGTAAAACATAGAAAGCGGATGGAATGCCCATATGGACGGACAACTTGGGCTTGGTATATTGCAGATAGATAAGACGCGAGGATGGATTTAGCTTAGAGCATGCAGTAGGAATCAAGTGTAAGTATCATGTGTGTAGTGAGCGCGTAATGAACGAATGGAAAAGACTAAAGTAGTACTAGTAGTTTACTACTAACTGCCCAAGTGTACGGAGTACTGTTAACTTAGTAAGTAGTGAAGTCCAAGGATGGCCGGGCAAGGAGCCTCGTGATGTGCCGATTGGACGGCAGCTCATTGTCGGTCTTTTTTCTCCCTGCCTCCGCCGCCTCTCCTCCTACAGTAGTACTACTTAGGTTTCCATCTACTAGGTCGGGCCTTTCCCCTTGCCTCTGCCATGAAGAGAGAAAAGCGCCTCGGACATGCACAAATAATACTATGATTGATCCTTCCCTCCGGGCCTGTGGTAACAAAATACCGAACTAATGTCCGCAGCCTTCCATCTTCTCAGCAGGATGTGCAATTACTACTACTGAGAATACGTACGGAGTAGTAAATACTAAGTTTAGCTGAGCGGCCTTTAACAGTACTACTTCCTTCACCCTGTCCATCCCCCCTTTTTTCCTTTATGCTTCTTCGCGTCCCCTTTATCTACATGAATCAGTGGGTAACCCCCCACCCCGAATGATTCAGGAGTACAGGCAAGACCCAACTCCTGCCAGTGCCAGAGCCAGTGCCATTGTCATTGACACTTTATCATCTGCAGGCTGGCCTGCGTGACTACTAGTATTGTCTTGATCTCTTCTTTATCTTACTCGCTTTTGCTTTCTTAGTCAATCCGTTTTGGTCTCTCCTCTCCCAACCAATTGCGTGTGTCGGTGACAGTGACGTAGAAAGACCGAGAGGGACGTCACCGCCTGGAAGTCAGTGCACGCGCCCGCCGCATTAATTATTCTTCTTATTATCGTTTCCCCAGCACTTTTCGGCACTTTTTGCCTTGCTGTTGCTGCTGTCTCTGGCTGGTCCTCATCTACTTGCTTATTCCCGTGCTTGTGCTCGCCGTGCAAGCCTCTTTCTATCAGTTAAGTCCTGTGATCGTCTGGGTGTCTGCCCGGTGCACACCGCAGATCTCGCTCCGACACTCACCATCGACCCTTTTCGCCACAAGCGACGCAAAGAACATCAACTCCCTTTTGCCTGTCAGATTCGCTATACTATCACCAGACGCATAGAGTGCCATCATGTCTTCCACTTCAGTCCAAGAAATCCCTGAGAAGGCACCTGATGATTCTTCCAAGCTGAAGACTTTCTTGTCCATCCTCCGCAAGTACGTGGGACTTTGACATGGGCTACACCGTTGCTCACTGCCCGGTACCTCTCACCGGTAGTTTGTGCTGATAGGTCTGGGTGGTCTTGCCAGGTTCGTTGGAGTGGCCGACATCGCGTCTGTTCGTTTCTCGTTGCCAGCGCATCTTCTAGAACCCACGCCAAATCTGGGTAAGCTGTCTCCTGTGCTATCTATCGCACATGAATCATCTCCCGTCAGCGGACTGCTAATATAGATTTGCTTGCCCAATCAGAATATTGGAATTACCTAGACAGACCGGAGGCCTTCGCAAGGTCAGCAAGATAGCCTATTCATAATTAGGGCTTGGTGTTCTCTGACATGGTTGTCACAGCATTGGTCAATCGGAAGATCCGCTGGGACGCACGCTGGAGGTTCTGAGATTCTGGTTTACCAAGGACTTGGTATAATGCCCCCAATCAGTCTGCATCGTCAATCAGTGGCAGTTCATTGACCAGATCGCAGAAATACATCAAAGGCAAACCATGCAAGCCGTACAATTCTACATTGGGGGAATTTTTCAGAGTAGGTTTGAGGCGGAGACCTTGTGGCGTAAGTTGATGGTATATTCTGACTTGCCTGGAACTAGTGCACCTGGGAAGTAGATCAGACGCTCCCAGAAGTCTCGCCGACTCCAAAAGCTTTCTCCAACGCAAAGGACAGCAGCACAGATCCCGTCAAGATTTGCTACTTAACTGAACAAACATCTCACCACCCTCCGGTTTCTGCCTTTTTTATAGACTGCCCGGATACGGGGGTCTCTGCGCGTGGTTTTGACCAGATCAGTGCCAAGTTCACAGGCACCAGCATCCGGGTCGCTCCTGGCCAGCACAACCTGGGAATCTTCGTCAACTTGAAAAACAGAGATAATGAGGAATACCACTTGACCCATCCTGCAGCACACCTTGGTGGTCTCCTCAGAGGCGCTTTGGCGATCTCTGTCTCAGACACTTGTTACATTACTTGCGCCAAGACGCGCATCAAAGTCATTTTACAGTACTTGGAGGAGGGCTGGATTGGTCGAGCGCAGAATAAGGTTGAGGGTGTGATCTTTCGATACGATCCGGATAAGGATGTCACCACGAGAATCAAAGATGTACCCGAAGGCGATGTTCTTGCCCGGATCAGCGGTTCTTGGCATGGGCAAGTTTTCTACACGTTGGCCGGTACAAACGAACCTCGGCTTTTGATCGATGTCACACCCCTCTTCCCAGTCGCGAAGACGCTGCCTCCGGAAGAGAGTCAACTATCCAACGAATCCCGCAAATTTTGGTCTTCGGTTACCGAAGCTATCGTCGACAAAAAGTACGGCCAGGCTACCAAGCTCAAACAAGACATCGAAGAGCGACAACGGCAAAAGGCCGCAGAGCGTCAGAACAAGAACGAAACGTGGCAGCCTCGTTTCTTCACCGGCGCTGTCACGCCTTTGGGAAGACCTGAGCTAACAGATGAAGGGCTGAAGGTACTCGATGGGCTACGCAGCGGTGATTATAGGTTGGACGAGAGTCTTACAAAGGGTGCATAGAGGCGTTATTTCTATAGGTCCAATTGTATATGGACGCGATCACTTGAATCTGGCGTATGCGAAGAAACTGTTTTGGCGACATATAGTTAGAGGTTTTCGTTTGTTCGGTCTTCTTAAACTTCTTTTGGTTGCCTCGGGATTACACTTTTGTCTGCTGTGCCTATAGGAAGAAGCATTTGATGATTCTAGATCTCTTTTATCCAGTGGCGGGGCCAACACGTTAATACAAGCTATCGTAAAAAACGTCCTACAACTGCTAGGATAGAATAATGGCTGCTCTGGGGGACTTTTCTTTTCTTGGCCTGCTATTCCACCCAACATGCGGCCTACCAGGATATCCCGGACACGATTGGCATTTCTTTTCTACTCCTTTCTAACGATTTTGGCCGTCGCTAACTTACAATAAATGCCTGGTATGCAGAGATGATGACCCCAGCAGATACAGTATGTCGATAATTGTGTGACCGTTGTGAAGTCCCACAGAATATAGGAGTTATAGAAATGTGGGAAGCTCCTCTGTATTATTTCATTGGGACTAGCAGCCCATCAAGCCATATAGTTAGTTCCTTACACATACTGAGCATGAAATAAATAAAGGAAAGAGGGTAAAGAAAGACAAAACAGGAATTCCTGCACATCATCCATCCGTAGTTCCTTCGCAAGCACCCGACCTCAAACGCCGCTGGACCCCAAACGATGCGCCGATGTAGTGACCAAAATCCCAAGTTACCATGAGGAAGCATAATTTCATCAGCCTAGGCGTTTGCAGTGACAACTTTGTTGAATCCCGCAGTTATTGTCTTCGTTATTTCTTCATTTTTGTGAGGAAGAAGAGACAATGCATAAGCAACATCATTCCATTGCCGCTCGGTCTCACATCTGGGGAGTCGAGCAGCCAGTTTCTCAGCTAATTGCCGGGCGTGTTTCTCCTGTGGGTGCAAAAGAGGTCAGCACATGAAGACAAGGGTTATTACATGTGAGATGTCCCATCGGTGACTTACCTTTTCGACGAAGCCGATCAGGAATTTAACGATACGTCTCAGTGATGCCTCCTCGAGATTACGTTCAGCACTAAGAAGGCTGAACATATCAACAAAGTGGTTGTAAACTGCGTTGTCTTTGCCCGCCAACTCAGTGAAAAACATGCGGGCAAGGTCAGCAATACGCTTGTCTTCATCTTCGAGGCACTTAGCCATCTCGCCGAGCTGCCCTTTGACCTTGACCTGACCAGCTAAAATAAGGAATGTGAGCGTCATGAGACAAGTGCGCTTGACCGAAGCTTCGTCATCGTTCAGTCGACGATACAAGAAGTCAGTATTTTCATCGATCAGATGGTTAAAACAGACTGCCATGTCTCCTAAAGCAATTACGGCGTTACTGCGGACCGTTGGATCTTCAGAACGCTCCATGATAGTTATCAATAGTGGCAGGTTTTTCTCGCAATAGTCTGCCGAGACACACATCAACTTGGCCATGCACAAAGTTGCCGCCGCCTGAAGATTGCGGTCAGCATAGATGTTGCTATTTGCGCAAATTTCTGTAACCAACGGTCCAAAATTGGATAAGAGCGAATTCTCGCCGTATAGCAATTCCCGTTCTCGAATATGTGCCATGGCATCCTGGAAGTCATCTTCAGTAGTCCCACCGATGAGGTCAAGCTCGTCATCTTCGGCATTGTCGTTCTTTTGGTTCGAGGTATTGGTTGTTTTATTCTTCTCCTGTTCTGCTTTGCGGCGTTTAAAGTCAAGTTCACACAATTCAAGATGAACAATTTGCTTAATGGCAATATGACCGACAACAAAGAGCAGTTGAGATAACGAAGTAGACGATGTTTCTTGTTTTGCTCCCTGTCCATCCGTTGAAGCCGTTTCAGGTCGTTGCTCTTCTCCGTCATCTGAGACTTCAGAAGGGGATCGCTGGATTTGTGGTTGAAAAACGAATCTGGTTTTCCGTTTGAGTATGTCAGAGCACAAGACATCTGGATGCTTTGACAGGGCGTAGATAGCACCAATAGCTTGTTCCGCTACACCGTACCACTCTTTGCTGTCAGATATCGTTTCGACTATAGCCCCGAGCTTCGTCAAAACCGCGTGATCATTGCCCAGTTTTGGGATGCCAACGTCCTTGGACTTTGCTTGGCGGCCCGGCACCATTCGTCGCAATGCAATGCATGTATACTTTGCAAGCACGAGGTCAGATCTACCCAGGCTTCCAAGGCCGATGCGCAACATTGTCTCGATTTCTTTGATGACGACCTCGGGATCCGCCAAAGCAAGCATACCCAGGACGATTATAGCTCCTCGACGCTGCGTCCTTGATATCTCTTTCTTTTGCACACCATAGACCTGCCAGAGCTTTGCAATAACTGCATCCGAAATGTGGCCGGCCCTCATCATAGTACTCAATAATTGCTCAAGACACGTCAGTTCAGCGGGTGTTGACCCGAAGGTTAGACTGATCATGTTTCGCGCGATATAATTTGCAGCATCATTAGGACTAAACGAGTCTGGCGCCTCGAAGAAAAGACCTTTATAGCAGTCGATCAAGTGTGTCTGAACTCCCTTTCCTTCGTCACTATTACCTTTCGTCCAGATCAGCCGCAGCATCCGCCGGATCCCGCTACGGGAGGTCTCGACCTTGTAGGCATCGAGCACGACAAAAAAGTCCATGGCCTCAATGGCCTCACTCTTGTTCCTCGACGATAATAGCTGAGCAACTAAACCAGATGAGGACTGGAGGACTTCGATAAACCGGATGGCTTCATTGTAATATTTTCTGGTCAGCTGTAGCCGTGCTAGCAGCTCGGAAGTAGCCGCTTGTTCAGCAGCCTTTTTAATGGCCGTGGCTTTCTCTTCCTCGCTCAACCCCGAAGCTTTAGATGGGGAGTCCTCCGGCAATTGAGTGGCATCATCCAATAACGCACTGTCAACATGCGATGCATCTGCCCCATCAAAGCCAGGTGTCTCGGGAGGTCGCAACGCATTCAATTCGGCATCCACCGTGTCAAGTCTAGCTGACCATTCCTTGTGCGAGAGTTGCCCACCGTGCATAACACTGAAAGGATGGGTTGATACCAGCTTTGCCAGCAATCTTATCGCGTTCCGTCGCACATTACTGCTCTTGTCTTCTAAGCTCCTTGCTGCTAGCTCTGCCACAGCCTGTCGTCGCTTGGGGAATTTCTGTTCCAAGTCACAAATCCTCATGTAAACCTGAATAGCTCTGCACCGGCAGTAAGGATTGATATCAAGAAAGCGCTCTTCAAGCACGTCGAAAAATGCGTTTATCTGCGTTTTGTAGTTGTCACTCCGCTCCTCTTGCCGGCTTAAGTCGGCGATGAGATTACCGCAGACTTCGATTACCGCACAACGAAGGGTGTATGACTATAAAGTATTAGTTACTCAGTAACTGGTGCGATGAGGGAGTGTGCATAATTACCTCGCTGTCCAGCTGCTTGGCCAAAAGAGTCATTTGCTTGATGATAAGTCGTGGGGCCAGCTCTGAGAGTTTCACAATAAACGCCGACACCGACTTAGGACCGCGTGTATCATTAGAGTTGAATTCTTTGTTTCCGAGCTCCCTAACAAACGTCAGCCGGAAATGTTCCCGTGGACATACGAGGTACGGTATACTACGTACTTCAGTATTTCATCCGAGAGCTGAGGATAATCATATTGTTCTGCCAAGATATGCAAGAACTCCGCCATGGGTTCTGAGAGGTGCTCAAAATATGTCAAGCTCTGTACAATGGAGGTCTGGGCGCCTATCCGGTAAGTTAGTTACTGGGTTCCTACCTCAGTGAGCTGACCCAGAGCAACTTACCGAATGCATGGCCGTGGTGCTTAACTGCGATGCAAAGGACCTTAAATGCATGCATCCGAATGCTCATACTCTTAACGCGCTGTTCGCTTTCGAGAATAAGGTAAATTGAGCGGGTGAACAGATTGATGAACGTATCACGGTCAGATGTCGTCAGGAATATTCTGCTGAGCTTAAGCTTCATCACCTTGCACATCGTCTCCATCGAGATCTGAATCTGCGCGGTCCAGTCCCAGTTTCCATCTTTGGCGTTCGCTTTAGATCTAGCTGATTTTCCTGCGCCCCTGCGGGCGGGTACAGGCTCTGCGGGCTTTTCTGCAGCTTTGACCTCTACGGCACTGAGAGCCCACTGCAGAAGGAACCCATACATCTCCAAGAGCTGTTTGTGATGCTGTATGCCATCCTGCTCATCGGATTCAAGCTCTCCATGAATTATGTCCGCCTCGACCGATAAGCCGGAAACAATCAAATCAAGAAGCTTGCTGAGGGATCTAGTGGGGGAAAACGAGCAATACCTGCGCAAGTCAAAAGTTTAGAAACAAGTTTGTAACAATGGACTCCTTCTGAGGACGAGAGGACATATCAGGGGGCAGGGCGCACTTCAACAAAAATTGCAGCGAATCGAACGAAGACGATCGGGCCAGTCCTTCTGGGTTTTCCGCGACCGCATCAACTATGGGATTCAATACATTGTCGATTAGAGCACTAGACAGTTGATCCGGATCGGTTTCACAGTCGAGCAGCTCCGGATCAGCATCCGGAGTAGGGACAGAGGCCGGGTCACTCAGATAGTGTTTCAGCGACTCGTTTATGTCGAATTGAATTCGGTCCTCCATGATCGGCCACTGCGAGGGTTATCCCCGAAGGGCATATAGCTTGATTGTAAGCGACGAGATCGAGAGACGTTGCGAAAGCAATGTATGTGTAGGTAGCAAGCCGGGAAGGAGAGGGGGGAGGATTGGATTTGGGGGGGGTCGCAGGTTGGAGGGGAAGGAGAGCCGCAGGGAAGAAATGACGGGCGGCGGGCTTCATTTGTTTGTATCTTTCCCTTTCGGTAGGCGGTTGTGAGGCGGCGGGGACTGAGGGTTGCGTACCAGTAAATTATGTCACACGCTTCAACCCTCGATAATTACAGACTCTCACGCCGCTATCCCGTATTGTAGCAGGTCATGAGCAATACAAATTACAGCAATACAGCCAATGCATGCTGCAAACGGCTACCAGTACACCAGCAACATGTATTGTGATAGGTGTGCTTTAGACCCTTCCGCTTTGTAATTGTTCTGTCAATACCTGTAATGCTAAATTGCAATTATCATGCATGTAACTACAAACGAGTAAACAAACAACTCTTGTTCCTGGTGCGGCGGATTTGCATGCTGTTTGGAGCATCTTTGGATCGTTGCTGGAAAACAGTGGGAGCGACGACCGGCTTCTCCCAATATAACGCTACAACAGCACTGGGGCTTCTCCTCATATCTATCCACACGTGTGTGTGCGCGTGCGCGACTTGATCTAGCAACACCGCCCTGCACTCATTCGCATATTTCCATATCCTCACGCCTTCCTTTCCCACCTGAAGCACGATAACATTATCAGTCTTATTGCACCTGACTATCGTGTTGCCAGGCCCTGCTGATCGAGCTATCTCTGATTGATTCCCCCTGCTAGTCTGTAACAGCCCTTTTAAGCGGTCTCCATTGCGATGTCCGCTCTTCATGCAGCTCCTACGGATACCTTCGGCATACAGCAACCTGTCACTGCGACCCAAGGCCCTAAATATGTCAGAGAGGACAGTGCAGCCACAGATAGTGATGGATCGATAGAGCAAATTCGAGAAGAGGTCGAGTATGAGGAGGAGGACGCTCAAGACAAAGAAGAAATTGATGAATCAGTGAAAGAAGACATGAGAAAACTCGAGGACACATTTCCCGGCATATCTGATAGATTTCGGCTGTTGAATAGAATCGGAGAAGGTATAGTGCAGCCGATCAACTTGGCCTTGGCCGTATCCTTTCACATATTAGCTGCTTCTGCTAGCACCGACGGACTGACCGGCTGGCCATGGGTTTACAGGTACCTTTTCCACGGTGTACAAAGCAGAGGACCTCTTATACGACCACTATGAAAACGACTGGGACACCTTCCAAGGCAACCATACGGACAGTTGGACGGACCAACCTTCTAAAAGACGCCGGGTGGAAGGTGACAACGGCCGCTCGATTTCCGTTAAACGAAGGAAGCCACGGTTCGTTGCATTGAAAAAGATCTATGTGACCAGTAGTCCCCATCGCATTCAAAATGAGCTTGAACTGCTACATGATCTTCGGGGTTGCCGATCAGTATGTCCGTTAATCACGGCTTTCCGCTATCAGGATCAAGTCGTGGCCGTTCTACCCTTCTTTCCACACACCGACTTTCGCATTCAGTATCGCACATTCCTGGTTGCTGATATGCGACATTATTTCCGGTCTCTATTCACTGCACTGCACTCGGTCCATAAACATAACATTCTCCATCGCGATATCAAACCAACGTAAGCACTGCACGCTAATCACCATGTCTTCGACACATGTCGGATGCTAACTTATAGCTTTGGCAGTAATTTTCTCTATAATCCTGATCTTCGGGAAGGCGTGTTAGTCGATTTTGGACTTGCGGAAGTGAGTAGATCTGCTAGTCATACGAGGCGACATCTTACTGACTTGCGGTCATAGCGTGAGGGTTCTGAGTACACAGGTACCTGCCTGTGCGCAAATGCAGCTTACATACGCCGTAGTAGATATAACCACAGTTATCACAACACTCATTGTTCTCCGACGACATTGTCAGCTGGCTATCCCAAGAACGACTCACGACCATCAAGGCGCGCTAATCGAGCAGGAACGCGTGGGTTTCGTGCACCTGAAGTCCTCTTCAAGTGCACTTCTCAGACAACCAAAATAGATATGTGGTCTGCCGGCGTCATTCTCTTGACCCTACTTGGACGCCGCTTTCCTTTCTTTAACTCGGCTGATGATGTTGACGCTATGATTGAGATGGCGAGTATCTTCGGCACCCGACGCATGAAAGCTGCAGCAGCCATGCATGGGCAGATATTCGAAACAAACATCCCTACCATCGGTGAAAAGGGGTATAGCTGGGAGAAACTTGTAAAATGGGCCAGCTGTGTTGAAGAGCTAACTGAAAGTGAGAAACAGGCCACTCGATTGTTGGCTGGCCTCATGGAGCTGGATCCCTACAAGCGCCTGAGTGCCAAGGAAGCCCTACAACATGAGTTTTTCACTGACCCTATAGATCATGATGTGGAGTGGGGAGGGGACCCCGATGATAGTGCAGACACTGGGGAAGAAGATGAGGATAAAGATGACGGAGAAGCGGACGAAGTAGCAATGATATAGAGCTTCCGAGCCAATGTATGATAATGACTCCTGGTTTGATTATAAACAGAGCAATTGCTATTCTACTATTGGCGATCGCTTGATTGAATGAACATCTCCATGATATGGGTCCTTGGGTTCAGGCGACGAATTCCCTAGCTGTACAACTACTACTACTGAGCGAGGGATTAAGGAGAGATATGGAGACTGAAGGACTAATTATTCGGCTGCATTGGAGGAAGGGGGGCACCCAACCTCTGAGTCTAATAATTTAGAGTTTGCGGCTTTCGCCAACAGCCGCATTATGATATCTATAGAGGTGTTGTATATAGTTCAGAAGATCAATGCTCGGCGAGCTGGCACAGGTTCTTCTCAGCCAGCCTCGCCGAAATCAACATGCCCTGTTTGTTCGGCATGCTGTGTAGCACCTCTCTCTCCGACGAATGTCCCTCCACACGTATTGCAACGAAGATGAAACCCAGCTGTGTCAGTGTAGTAATGCCTAGTTTGCAGGACTTGGCAGAGTTCCTGCGACTTCTCAAGGACCAATGGATCTGCAGCGTCGAAGACTTTGGTATCAAAGTCAGGAGGCACATCTGAGTGAGTATAAGGCGGGCTGGAAGGCGACAACGCGATTGTATCGTAGTGGATTCCTGAATAAACCACGATACACCGCATCGGGGCGCCTTCGTTGAAGCGATCGATGCGAAGGGTCTGCACGTCTATGGAGCATATTTCAATATCGAAATGCTTGCTGAGGATGCTCAGCTCGATTCCACCACCCCATGAGTCCTCATTCTGAATCCAGCGGCAGTATTCGTCCGGCTTTTTCTCCAATACCGCCTCGGTATAGATGTCTGGGTGCGCTTGGATTGTTTGCGCAACAACGGATCGTAGTTCGGTCATGGCATCTACTCCTCCCATAGTTGCACTACTCACTGCACGAAAGAGACAAGAGTTGTCATCGGGCATGATTCGCAGAACAAAGGTTCCGCTATGGTCGGGCGAAGGGACCTCCGGCGGATCATCAGGAGAACCCTTCTTCGGTGTGCTGCTTACAGCTGGCGCTTTCAACAGAGGATTTGCTGCTTGAGGTTCACTTTTGATCGGGGACTGGGCTGGGTTCTCATGCTGTGTGACGATAAGTTGTTCCCCGTTTAGGATGATATCTAGATCTGCTAGTTTCTGATTCGAAGGAAGCCCGCCCAGCACCAATGGCTTGATATTTGGATATCCATATTTTACATCGTACGCCGTCAGCCCCGTTTTCTCCGTGATCTGATGCCGGAGGTCGTCGACAGTTGCATCTGCATCCAGCGTGACGGTGGATTGTCCCGCCGGACCGCGAATCCGGATCCTCATTATTCGTTGTGACGTAGTATCGGGAACGCTGGCGGGCTGGTAGATTGGTAAAGAAGTATATAGTTCTGGAGGGTGTACGAAGGATACTCAGACTCCAGTAGGCTGTTTCAAGAGCAGTTGCCGCAGTCGGGGGTCGATAAAGTCTGAGGGAAGACAAGATTGACCAGCAATCGAACCCAACGCACCTGAACAATCGGGGAAGGGTTAATCTCCGCCGCAGGAGGGGAGATAATGCCTGACCGCGGCGGAGGCGGGAAAGGTGGCGGTGCAGCCTGGAAGTAAGTGTGTATGTAATGAAACACCGACGCCTCTTACGGTATGTAATGTTACGTGTATCGTCACGGTCTCTTGCAGCTACCTGATGAGTCAGCATAGTTGCTGCGCGAATCTCGTCCTTGTGCGCTTTTGCGCTCATTGTACTCCTGTTCGCACCCCAGATCAGCTCCCGCTGTCGATGTGCTCTACTAACGGGATATCTTGAAATCGAGACTGACGAGTGGGTTTGGGCCCTGATCTGCGTGCCGTTTCCTGCGTGGCCGCGGCCGTCTACAGTATGGAACCGGAGCCGTCGCAAGCGCAACCTCAACCTGCTCCTGAGGAACCGGTCAAGTCGATCGAGAACGATGGTCAGACCGATAGTCAGGCCCCCACTGATGGGATCACAGATGAACAATGGAGGTCAATGATGAATGTGGTTTTGGCTATCTATGAATTCAGAGAAGAGGAGTAAGTTCTCCAATCCCCTTGTCCTGCGGGTTGGACCCGGAGGAGACTCGCAGCGCTGGGTCGCATTCTGTCCGAGGCTGGATCTTGTCCCCTCAGTTGAGACTGACAATCCCTTCTTTCCCACGTATTGCAGTGGCCATGATCCATCAAGATTATTCCAGCGAAGCGTCAACAAACGCAATGTTCCCGATTATTATGATATTATCAAGGAGCCCATGGCTCTAAGCATTCTCAAACAAAAGATCAATAAGCGCGAGTATAAAAGCTTCTCGGAATTCGTGCGCGACTGTGCCCTAGTATGTTGCATCTCTCTTGCTCTGTCGCCAACCAGGTTCATAATTAGCTTACGTTAATCCTGTTCGCTAGATCCCTCACAATGCGCAAACCTACAACCGCCCCAAATCCCAAGCGTACGAAGATGCGCTCGTGATAAAGGTCTGTAGAAACTCGGGCTCTACCTTCGGTTATCGATGCGTTCCTGTTCGGTTTCGCTGACTGCAAATTTGAAAACAAAAGGATGTCTTCATTGCAGAGTTTCGAAAACTGGTTGATCAAGGGATCATCACTGCGGAAGAGGCTGAACTTCCCGATCTTGGAGAAATTCCCGAAGCCGATCCCCTTCCCGAGGAAGAGGAAGAGGAGGATGAGGATGAGGAAGACGAAGAGGATGAGGAAGATTCGGATGATGAGAGCCGACGGAAGAAGAAAAGGGGCCCTCGTCCGGGTGGTAAACGTGACGGTGGCAAAGATGATGGTCAAAAGTCGAATGATCCCGAGCTGAGGAAGAAACGTGGCCGACCACCGCGTGTTGACACTCCGATGGAGGCCAGAATCAAAGCTGTTCTAAAGGGTATTCGGAAGCTGAAAGGGCCCGGTAGCCAACTCAAGGTGCGACATTTCGAGCGATTGCCCGACAAGGCTACCTACCCGGACTATTACATGGAAATCAGAGAACCCATTGCTATCGACATCATCAAGCGGAAGTCAAAGCGGAAGAAGTACAATTCGGTGGACCATTTCATGAGGGACATGGACCTCATGTTCAACAACGCAAAGGCCTACAACCAGCCAGAGAGTCAGATCTATAAGGACGCGGTTGACTTGCAATTAGAAGCACGGAAACTGGCTGAGCACGAGAAGAAGAAGCCAGACAGTGAGTACTTGATGGAGGATGGACGCTTGCCCCTACCGGATGGCATCCTGCACAAGAGCGAGCTGTGGAAGGTTGGCGACTGGGTACATATTCAGAACCCGAATGACGTTACAAAACCCATTGTCGCCCAGATCTACCGCACATGGCAGGATTCTGAGGGTGAGAAATGGATCAACGCTTGTTGGTACTATCGCCCGGAGCAAACTGTCCATCACTTCGAGAAGCATTTCTACCCCAATGAAGTGGTCAAAACTGGTCAGTATCGCGATCACCGGGTGGAAGAGATTGTGGATCGTTGCTTCGTGATGTTCTTCACTCGCTACAATCGTGGTCGACCTCGAGGTCTTCCTCCCGATAAAGATGTCTACGTCTGCGAGGCTCGGTACAATGAGGAGAAGCATAAACTGAACAAGATCAAAACGTGGGCGAGTTGTCTCCCTGATGAAGTCAGGGAGAAGGACTACGAGATGGATCTGTTTGATGCCCCCCGAAGGATCAAAAAGATCCCCAGCCCAATCAAGCATTTGCTGAAGAGCGATGCAAAGGAAACCGACGACCTGCCCAAGCCGACGTGGGGAGCCGACAATGCACCTCCTGTCGTCGGTGCAGTTCATCGCCGTCCTCGAGATGAGAACGTAAGCTTCCCCATGCTCCCTCCCCCCTCTTCTCTACTGCTGGTGATTGGCACCACTGACAGGACCTACGCTTTACCAGGAATCCCCTCCCCCAGAACCGACCCCGTCACCACCTCCGTCCCTGCCACCACCGACTTTGCCCCCAGCTCCACCTCGACAGCCATCGATCCCTCAGTCGTCTGGACGGCCCAGTATAGACAATCAAAGCACCGGCGCGACGGCTGGAACTGCGGCGGCGGTCCGATCCCCAGCTGCACCTATTCCTCCGGCCCAGAGCTCACCGGCACCAGTTCCTCCGGTAAATTTCCATCAACCCCAGATTCCCCCTACCCAGGCTTATCAGCCTGCCTTACAGAAGCGTGCCAGCGCGTTTGTCCCTCAAACACCTCACCCGGCTACCTACCAAGCGTCGGCCCTGTCTCATCCATACACGGCCGCTCAACAAACACCATATAATCTATATTCTAGCGGCCGGTTGCCGGTTCCTCCCATGGGAATGTACAATCCCAACGCTCCTCGTCCGATCGAAGTCTTCCATTTGAGCGATTCCGCGAATGCTGCCATTCCGGCAGACATACGTGAACAGTTTCACTGTGATGACCAGGGTCGCGTGCTATTCTTCTCCAGCCCGCCGCTTGATATAGTCCCATCTGTTCAGCAAAAGCTAGGCCATTCACTTAAATATCTGGCTGCCAAAGAGGAGCGAAGAAAGTTGGTGGAGGCCAAGAAGCGCAAGGAGAATGATGAACTGGCCGAGCGCGAAGCAGGTGCTAAGCGACAGCGAGCTGACGATGAGACAACTCTCGCCGCTCGGGTGGACGCTCTGACAACCAGGGCCGTGGAGAATTTGACGTCCCAGATCACGCAGGGCACAAGTCAGCTCTATGAAATCCTTTATCAGGACCAGGCGGGAAGTATTCGGCAAACAGATACCAAAGCTCACGAACGAAGGCTTCTTGCCGACCACATGTCCCAGCAGGAAACTGCGCGGATATTGGCAAACTCGCAGCCGCCGAGCTACATCAGCCTCAGAGGTAACGCCATGTATTTGAGCGACATTGGACCTAAAGCTTGATTTTATGCGACGCAACTGTCTCGGATCGGCTACGGCTCAATTTTCTCAAATGCTCATGTGAGACAAATATTGCCTTCTGGATTGCCGCGAGCTAGGTAGGATGAGGGTACAACCACGAAACTTGACTCGAACGGTTGGCGATGTCGTCGTCCTCGTCCTCGATAAGCCCTTGTTACCCGACCAAATTCAATCGTAGAAGATTTTATTCATCAGGCCCATGTTCTCATGTATAGTAGTAGGTTAAATGCAGTCGATGTCTCTTTAGGAAGGTCATTCCGTTATAACTTAGTATTCATGTCTCAAGTGTTCTTTCCCCTCTTATTAAATGATACATGCACCTGTCAGAATGCAATAGCATAGTGCCAGATTGTAATAGTCTACGAGGTGCAGACATAGCTATGTTCTACTTCCGGAGAATTGGTCTTTCGCAACCTGATCTACGACGACTGCATATCCAAACCCAGTTCCAACAGGGGCGCACACATCGTTGACTCATAAATTAGATACAAACAACAAAATCATCAGCAATGGATGGGGCAGGGAGAGGGGTGGGAAGGGGAGCAAGGCAGACTAAGATATAGGGGGAGAAAGATGTACCCATAGTCCCCCAAAGTTTGGAAAAGCGAAATAAGGTCCACAAGGTCAATCAAACAATGCGGCCGCTGTTCTTCCGGTAGAGTACAGTGAGAACCATCCGGGTTAAGGGGAGAGGGTGAGGATTATCCCTGAAGTGTGAGACGAATGCAGAATGAAGGGGGAGGATGATATGTCACAACTAGTAGATAGTTATAGTAGGTAGACCATCAACAGAAGATTTCCTTCTTCTCCCCCTTCCAAAACAAGTTCCCCAAATCGGTCTAAGAGCCCGCAAAATGCAAAAGACACACGATTAATGAGAAAGAGAAAAGAGGGCTGTTGTATAACTCCTGGAGATCGCTGAACCGTTCTATGCAAAATGCCCTCCAATAGCGCCGAAGCCTAGAGCACTCGGTATATCCTTTTGGTGATGACGATGACTTATGGACATTATCATGGACTGGTACCAACCTGTGGTGCTTTTTTTTTTTTTTGATTCCCTTTATTTTGTTTTCCCCTTGCCCTTTTTGTTAACATATGCTTTTGGTTTTTCGATCCTCGCCCTGATTTTGATATCCCGTGTAACTTTTAACAAAACCCTTCCTGCAACCAATGCTCTTGCATGTCTCATCTATTAAGGTTTCCCTCATTCATTGTATGCATGCAGTAGCAAATGGCAGAGAATTCGGTCTAGACTTGTACTCCCAAGCTACAGTTATGGCTGGAATCCAGAATTGCTCGTTGGTGTTGACGCGTCGTCGTCGTTAGAATCAGCCTTGTGCGGACTCCAAGAAGTGCTGTTTCGCTTATTGTTCTCCTCTTCTTCCATGGAGAAGACCAAGTCGCCCTGTTCCTCGTCAATCTTGCTAGTGCTGACTGGCGACGAAACAGTCCGGTCAAGGCGGCTGCTGGCACCCACAGATGACGAATGACGAGCCGAGCCAGGGTGCAGAGAGACGCTGCTTAGCTGCTGCGAAATCATAGACATCGATGACTGACGAGAGGGACTCGAGATAAAGGGCGAGACATCGCCGGAGATCTGGCGGCTACCAATTGGGCCTAAGCTGGGGCTAGTTCCCAAGTTGAGAGAAGATTCGCGAAGGGGCGATCCGATGTGAGTGAGGGAGGTGCCGTGGGCATCTTCCTCTTTCCTCTGCCGCTGTTTGGCAAACAGAGCGCCGAATCGAGATGGGCTGGAGGCGAGGGGCGATCCAACTTTCGAGAAACTCGTCCCACTCATGCCCAGTCCACTAAGGTCGCGATGGCTCGAACTGAGCTCATGATCGGTGCGCGACAAACGCCGGAGTCGCTCTTGTGGTGTCAGAACGTCGTCATGCAGATTCATCGGCAGGTAATCTTCCTCCATTGGGAAATTGCTCTCATCCCAATCATCCAGCGCAGTAGGCCGAGGAACGCTAGCAGAGAGCACTCGTGATTTTATGGGCCGCTGGGAGTGTAGGAACCGTGGTCCAATGCTATCGTCAAGAAGACCAGGCGGTGATGAACCGATGAAAGAGGAAGATGGTTTTCTCATGTCAGGGCCGTAAGCTGCGTCCCGGAGATTGCGGAGCGCATCTGACGGCGCAGCGCCCATGCGCTGCGCTGGCGGAGACAACTCCAGTCCGAATTTGGAGGGTACGGAGGCCGCAACCGGGCCATAACGAGCGGCGTGCGAGATCCCTTGGCTATCGAATGATGCAGGAAGTGGAGCATCAAGTGCAGTTAAATGACGATGGCTCGGCGACATGGGGAAGCGCAGATCGTCAACCGGTGAGCCGTACTTCGAGCCAGTATCCGAGACCAAGCCAGTATCAATGGTGGGGATGGCATCGTAAGGGGGTTGCTGCGGGGGCTGGGGCTGCTGCTGCTGCTGTTGCGCATGCAGGGCAGCGTATTCATCCTGGGGTGGCATCTGAGAGCCATACCGGGGATCATGGCCATTCATTCGTTGTTGGGAAAGAACCGAGTTCGTCAGCGCGGAGTCCTGGTTGACGTAGGCCTGCGGGTTGACACGCCCGCCCAGATTCAGATGGCTTCCTCCCATTGCCATTCCTGGACTGGGACGATTGACTCGGCGGCCATCGGGTAGAATATGCGCCAGTGCACACTTCGCTCCAAATTTGCAATTTCCCTATAATTGTCCCCAGAATGTGGTCAGCTCCATGTAGTCCCATCAAGATCGATCGAGCATGCTCGGCGCATGGAACGAAACGGTTCACGATATCACCAACTCCCTACCTTTGTGAAGTATTTGCAGGGCGCATAATCGATCGCAGCATCGGTAGAATGGAGGAAGGGGCATGCAGGCCCGGCCTGGCAAGCTCCTTGACGGAAGAATTTGCAAGGCACATGCTTGGTGTCTGCGCGACAGTTGCCTTCAAGTCAGCATCCAGCTCTCATGGTTAAAGGAGTGAGGAGCCATGGGACGAGCGTGGGAGAGACCGTCTGGGGTGCAGAGGAATCGGCCAGGCTCGCTTGCCAGTGCGAAGCGGCGGTGTTGGGGGGGGGGGGGGGGGGGGGGGGGGGGGGGGGGGGGGGGGGGGGGGGGGGGGGGGGGGGGGGGGGCGCGCAGAGAACGAGAAAGATAGGAAAGAACATACTGCTCTGGTTAGGAGGACTGCGGGCAGCCATGTCGAAGCCCGAGACGTTGCGGGAATGGCCGTTTTGGAGAGCCTGTGGGCCGGAGGGGACCGGGAGAGGAGCGCGGCTTTTCATCTCACCCGATACACGGGGTGGAGGACGAGCAGCGTGCGAGGACGAGGAGGAAGATGAAGAAGAAGGAAGGGGTTGGGGAGGTGGTGGAGGATTGCGAGAAGCCGACAGCTGCATCGCCAGAAAGAGCAGCAGCAGTAGCAGCAGCGAACAGTTTAGCGGCGTGGTTCGGCGGCGGCAGGAGACGGCGGGCGGCGACGAGCACAAAAATCCGGAGGGGTTTATCGGTGGAACGGGGGGGCGAGATTTCCACGGCTGGTTTTTGCTGGTGGGGATGAGGAGGAGAAGATCACCGAGAGTAGGGGAAGAGAGTACTAAATCACCCTACTTTGGCGGTGTGGTCGCAAGTGAATTAACTACTTAGTACAATTTTGAAGGTTTGTTGCACTTCTTCAGAGTGTGAACAATTCAGAGGGACGATGTTGCTACTCAATCTCTCTCAGTCTCCGTCTCCATCTCCGACCGGTTGGGAATGCTTACACCTCTAGTTGCCCGATTGCCTCCAAACTTTGGAGATATTTTTATGTCAGGCAGAATCCCGCAATCGATCAGCTCTTCGAGATCCCTTGTGTTTTGTTCGTTTCCCCCCTGAACCAAATGAGATATTGACTTTTCAAGTGAATGAATAACTTCCTGAGGAAGAGGGCGGCAAATTCTTCTTCTAAAAGGGAGGAGAGAGATCTCGATTGATGGATGGATGGTGACCGAGAAAGTTGCAACTACTTCTATCTACTCTATCTTGAATTCCTGATCATTTTTCCCTCTCCCCACTTCTTTTCCCTTTCCCCCCCCCCCCTCTTTCTCTCCTTTCAAGGCGCGCCCTCATTCTTCCTTCCACCAAAAGCACTTTCCTCCCCTCCTCCCCTCCTCCTCCCCTCCTCTACGATCTTCATACATCTCCATACAGTACAATTCGATATCAATTGCTGGACACTCGTGCTGGCTACAATGGAAGATTACGTTTATCGCCAACATCACGCCTTAAGTCTCTTGGTGCCGCAAACGCAGGGCCCTGGCGCATGACGGTCTCCCGATGCAGAAAGGCAAACCGGCGTCAAAAGCCTCCCTGGTGGCGTCAGATCGAGTCTGCAACAGCTCCTGACTGTGTCGCATGCTTCTTTCTTCCCCTCAGTTGACAGCCCCATGCTTCACTGTTCCTTGTTGAATCATGAAGATCATCCAATTATTCGTTCGGATGACACCTGTCGGATTGTTCATCTGATCGTCCACCCCATCTTGCGGCCCTAGCTTTTTGCCTCAGCAGCTTCCGGCCTAGGCTGCTTAGCTCTCCTCGGGTTCTGGTCGTCAAATCACGCTCTCCTGATCCCGCGCAGGGCGGAGCGACCGCCGATCAGCCAGATATCTACTCGCTATCGGATCGTCCCCACACTCTCACGTTGTAGCTGGTGGCACAACATCTGCATCTTTCCCATGTACCATGTACTATGTACTGTCTCCTCCGTAATTTTCTCATAATCCCGATTGAGCAAAGATATTTCCATTAGAATATATCACGGGCCATACAGCGTATGTATAGTATCAATGGCAATAGGAGATTTCAGGATCGTGGACCAGTGTTTGCTTGTGACCAGGCTGAACAAGTAGACCTCTAGCTCACATTTCATCATCACTTGGGGAAAGGGCCTTCCAATCCCAGATTCTCCTTCATCTCGACATCGTCAGCATCCCTCACTCATCAATACGGACTAGTGGTTGTTATGTCTTACCCATAATTCTTCCCGGTCCATGTTGTCGGGCACAACTTCCGTACACATCCGCCATAGATCGCGACAAATCCGACCGCGCACATTGGCTTGATTCTGCCAATGTTTCCAGACTCTTTGAGCATCCAGCTTCACCCGCACGGGCACAGTCCCTGCATCACTCCCTCGCGCCTGCACCAGGCGTGCATGGATTGCCTCAAGTTCTTGCTCAAGCTGACCGACATCCCGTCGAAGTTCGGAGACCAAGGGTCTTGCACAGATGGTTGCTAGCTCCGCTCGCGTCTTTTTCTCTGCAGCCTCGAGACCGGTTACTTGCTCCTGCAATTTCTCAGCTTGCTCATGCAAAGCTGCAATGATCTCGGGCGTCACTTCGTCGGACCTCTCCTGTAGGGCGTGGTATACTATCTGTTTCCCTGATGTATCGCGAATCAACTTTTTCGTCTCATTGCATATTTATTCCTCTACTGCTGGTGGTTTGCTTACCAGCAGCCCGTCCTTCGATTAGTTTATTCTTGTGTAGTTCTCGTAGAGCTTTCACAGCGTGTGCTATTGTATATATATATAGCTTCAGTATCAAGTCACACAAAGATCTCGCCTAAATAAGAGCAACTCACCTTTTGTAATATTATTGTGTAAATTCATCGAAATCTCGGTAGCCTGCTGTAAATCAGCCACGAAAAGACCCTTCCCTACCTTCCAACATCACCCTTAACTTCGGGATGGAAACCCACCGAGTAAGGACGACTGTCTCATTGACAATCCACATCATATTAGCTAAATGAACAACACCCACCAACTTGTTTAAGTGAATAAAAGTGATCTCTACTTCTGTTTTCCTATACAGCGAGACCGGTCAACAATTGCAAGACGCCCCAGAGTAAGCAGGATAGTAAATGGTAGATTAAGCTCACGAAGATAATCAAGCACCAATGCAGGACCATCAGGAGCAGTAGCTTTTCCAAGTTCACGTTGTTAGCTGTGCATAAGCCAGCTCGACTGTAGTCCCAGAGATTGTGGGTTGCTCACCTCCAGCACCCAGCTGCTTCTCATTCTTCGCTTTTCTCTGGGCCATGGAGAGGTCGGATTGCGTTGCTCGGATTCTTACGAGCAAGATTGAGGAGGGAAGGTGGAGAGAATAGATCATGATATCAGATGTGGGATCCAGCGAGTTTGAGGTCCGCTGTATGCTTGGAGCATCACGTGGGCCACAGGACAGGGTTCTCATTTGAAAAGGGAAGGCGATGGATTAAATATTATTTAGACAAATTTGATGCTTTCAGGCAGGCTAAACACGCGAGCTGAAATGGAGGTGCCAAAAGAGAAGGACAGACAAAGGCCTCGTCATGCTGCAAGATACTTGGTCCTACGCCGTTGCATGTAGATCATGATACCGAAATGAAACATCACATCAAAAAGCAGACTCGAAGAGAAAAAAAAAAGAAGAAAGAATGAGAACAACAGGGTGAACGACATATGCAATCCTTAGATGGCCCAAGACACGGGAAGAAAACACTGTGCGTCTTCTCGTCTACTAGCCATCTGATTTTCCAACACTCCAAAAACCATCTACATTAGATCCTGTACGCAAGGAAGAGAAGAAAGAATCAAAAACCACTCGTCCACTATTTTTCCTTTCGAATATAGCACAGATGAAGAAAGACCAAAAGTAAGAGCTCTTCAAGGGTATCACATGACGATCTGCGCATAGTTAGCTTGATGATAGCGTCCTTCAAGGAGGTTACATACGCAATCGTTGTCTTTCTGAACTGTCGGAACACCCATCTCCTCAAATGTCTTGGGGCCCTTGCCTGGCAAGTTACCATGCTGTTTAGCGGATGCAGGTTTTTGGCTAGATGTGCTTGAAGCCGTGGAGGGAGGCTTGGGAGTCGAACTTGAGGGAGGAGGCTTAGGTGTGGAAGCAGACGAAGACGAGGGCCGGGGGGTCGCTGCAGCACCAGGCGGCGGCATGGATTCAGTCCGCGGGGGATACGCGGTGGAAGGCGAGGCTGGCGGCCTAGGAGAGCCCGTCGGTCCACCCTGGGAATGGGGGGAAGCAGGACCCCGCACAGGTCTCCTGTCTGGCGGAGGCATGTTGTCCAGTCGCTGAGGACGTCTGCGAGCATCGGGGTGAGGATTCTCGAGGGGTGCTGAGTAGCCAATATCGAGCTTAGGTGCCGCCGACGCTGGGCTTGTCGGGCTAGTCGTTGAAGGCGTACTGGGGCCTGGTGAGCGGTATCCCATGGCGCTAGGCCCGTACGATGCAGCGCGGTTGTAGTTCGGCGCGTTCGACCGAATGTTTGGGTTGATTCCAAAGGCAGAACTTGGCCGGGGGTCCGCACCCATAGGATATCCCGGCGGATACACAGGTCGAGCACGAGATCCCGGTCTGTCAGGATAGGGAGCAGGCGCGGCGGGTGGGTTATCTGATAGAGTCATTCTGGAGGGATCAGGCATTTCGAGATTCTCCTGAGGCGGCTTTAACGGGGGCCCTCGCGGGCCATTGCCATAGCGAGTCGACTTGATCCGGGCAATTGCAACCTGTTCGTGATCCTTCCTCGATAGGGTCTTGGAGCGCGAGATACTATCGATCCGGCCGGTCGCGTCTTTGTTTCCATTTGCTGCAGCCTTGGCATACCAGCTCCTGGCTTCTTTGATATCCACCGGAACGAAGATACCGACTTCGTAGAAATATCCCAAGGCGAATTCAGCGGTGGGGAATCCACTTTGGGCTGCGCGTTGAGCATACATAAACGCCAATTCATCGTTCTTTTCGAAGACCCCCTCATGGCCGCAGAGGAACCATTTGCTGATAGCCATCTCCGCTTCTGGCTCGCCTTGGCGTGCAGCCAGCGCGTTGTAGTGCAAGGACAATGCAGGGTTAAAGTCACAGCTAAGTTGGCATAGTTCATAAGCCGCACCCATCTTGACTTGGGCCTTAGCGAACCCATGGTAAGCGGCCTTCTCGATGTTGACGCGAGCAGCATTCAGATCCAGCGGCAAGAACTGCTCTGGAACGTTTACCTGCGGCAGCTCTCGTGCCAAAAGCATACCGTAAACCTGCACAACATGTCAAAATCATGGTTACAAGAGAATTAAGTAAGCGGACGCACGTAAGCTCCCTGAGGCGCATTTTCGTCGCAGGATTGCGCAGCAAGGCTGATATAGTTGAGACCCATTTGATAGTCTTGGCGTTGTCCATGCTGTCCAAGAAGGATCATCATTCCCAGGCGCTATTGATCAAAGCATCAGCATTCGCTGGGACGCGATAATGGGGAAGGGCCATACATAGAATGAAGCCGAGTCTGCGAGCGCAACTCCCTTCTCGTAATGTTTGATAGCCTTCTCTGGTTCTCCCGAACTCTCAAACTGCATGCCGATACGATACTCGGCTCTGGCGTAGCCCTTCTCCGCAGCTCTCGAATAGGCCCGGAAAGCTTCCTTCTTGTCCACGCGGTATCCGAACTTGCCAAACTCCAGCCACATTCCCTTGATGAACTCTGCCTTGGGATGATATTGCTCCGCGAGGAAGTTGACGATATTCATCGCATCGAGTTTCAACTGCCGCTCGGCCGGAGGGGTCTGAGGGCGTGGGGGCTGGATCAACGACAGACGAGCTTCATTTTGCATGGCAACTTCCACATAGGCGAGCGCATCCTGCGCCCAGGCTAACTGCATATCAGGATCATTTGACGACAGCACGGCCATGCGGGCCCTCTCCAAGTTTACCTCCCTCTGCTCATCGGTCGGGGGAACGTTAGGTGGGGGATTGCGCAGGACTGGGAATGGCGAAAAGTTGGGGGCGTCCATAGTGTCGTGGACAGCGGCTTGCTCAAAACGAGCGGAATCGTAGGCGGCGGTTGGAGAAGCCTGTCCCTGAGCGACCGCAGAAGTAGTTCGTTCAGGGTAACGCGAACGATCATACTGGCTGTGGTGGGGGTTTCGGGCCTCGTGTTCGAGGTGCGCGATATTATCCTGCATGTTCTCCGGGACTTCTGGCATGACCCTAATGGAAGGAGGATTTCTCGATTAGCAACACGCCAACCTAGGGACTCTGTACAAAGCCAGGAAAAGACAGGGTTTTCTATTTGGGGGCGGAGGGGGGGGGGTTGTAGTGTTTTCCCCTTTTTGTCCTGAAGTTTGTTCTTTTTCCTTATGACTGCTGTCATCCGAGGGGAGGTTTCGCACCTTTGAGGAGAGGGGGATATGACCTCCGGCATGTAGAAATCATCCTGCCCCCCTGGATACCAGGTAGCACCCAGCCGTGGCTGACCGTGACCTTGGGGTGGCCTATTCATCGTCGGCGAGATTCTCCGTTTATTGGACGGTATTGCTTTTTTCACCCGTGTTAGTTTTGTTTCCACCTTACCCCTGCTGAAATTGGCAAAGGAAAATAAATTGTCACTCGTCTCGGACTGGGCACCAGTCAATAGCGTGTTTGGCACTTTGGCTGGGCTCAGCGGTTCATCGGAACCTCTCGAGAAAAAAGTAGAGCCGGCGTGGGGACTGCCGAGTAGTGGTGGAAGACTAGTAAGTAGTTCTCCGAGAAGGGGGAGGGGAGAAGGGGGGGCGCAGTCCAACTAGTAACTACTGTTACTGAACTGACTTGGATTAGATATAACGGAACACGGAGGAAGAAGAGGGCGCGCGCAAGGGCTTCTTCACATCTAACTAAGCACTCTAGCAGGAGAAAAGAGATAGACAGAGACAGAGAGTGTGTGTAATATATCCATTTTCGTCTGGAAGTGGACACTAACAGCCTAGTTATTTCCCTGGTACTAATTTAGGTGGCCATGATACGCAGTATAGGTGATACAAAGAATAAGATTAATCTTACTGTCAAGTACGAGAGGGGAGGGGGAGGGGGTTGTCATAGGGAGGAGGGGTTGGGGGGAAAGAAGGAAAAGAGAAGACAAGGCCAGGAACCACCACACTACGGACTTCCTTGCAGCCTACCAGGCAGTCGCGTAGATACGTAGTAGCATAAGTAGTAGTACTAGTAGTGGTGGTAGTAGTAGTTAGTTAGTACTTAGGCTCCTCCACAGGGAAAGAAACTCCAGAACGACTTGACCACTAGTACCTACCGAAGTAGTCCTCCTATTAATCATCATTTCTTCCTCTGCATGGTTCGGGTAATTGACTAGTTATCATTCAATGGACTAGTGCAGGCAACAATTGAAGAACAGAGTAGAAGACGAAGGATTTTTCATTCCGAACAATTCTTACTACTAACATCGGCTGCTTATTAGAGGGTTGGGAGATTTCCTAAATACATTTTACTGATGCCGGAAAATTCTTGGAAACTAAAATAGTAATTAGTTACTTAATTAAGTAGTTAACTAGTTATCTATCTGATGTAAGGTAAGCAGGCACTAACTAGTTAGTTAACTACTTAATTAAGTAACTTAAGTAACTATTACGGAGTTAACTGCATATGGATAAGATAAGTTACATGGATACTTACAATACCTGACCATCACCCTGGGGGTGAGAAAGAGAAGTTTAGGGGCAGAAATTAAGCAACGGGTCATGCAAATTCCATTGAAAGGAGAGATCAGAACTGAGGATGCTAGTACTTGGAAACTATACTTCTCAGCCTGATGGATGGCCAGCTATTTTTATCGCGACAGTTGCACTACCACTCCCTCTTGGACTACGCGCCCAGGGAGTCCGTTAGACTAGTGATGGAAGCCCCTTCCAGAAGGAATCTTACCATACCTGACAGATACCCAAAGTCTTTCCCTTCCTCCTCTCCGTCCTCTCTTTGGGCCACTCATCTTTCATCCATATTAATGACTCGTGTGGGAAAGAATCGCGGAAGCAAAGCGAGAGCGCAAACATAGCATCTACAGACACATCGCACATAAATTGTCATCGAAAAAAGAGGTCGAACAGTTTCTTTGAGTTTAGGTAAGCAGTCGCTTGGTCTCTATCAACCATCCTCTGCGGTGGGCCCAAGACTGGAATTTTCACCTTTGTTGGTAATGTGTAATCACCATGAGAGTAACTAGTTGGGTAGGTGCGGCTTTCCCTTCCATATACTACATATACATAGGCATATCAGCGTATAGTCCACACTTAGCGACGTTGAGATGCCGTCCTAACACTTGTTGCTCTTTTCCGAAACATTAGCTGGCAAGTGTTTGAGATTGTCTTCCTTAACTGGTCGTATCATCTTATCATCTTCGAACGCAGTCAGAAAGTATACCGTCACAGGCATTAAGTACTGACAGTGGTAAAAGCATTGGCGCTTGGCGTTCCACCAAGTGAGCATATAGACTTTGTTTTGTCTCGTCAACTTCGGGCTGCCGTTTATTTTTGGCCAGTGCTCAGCTTCGGGCTGCAACACCACCAATGGAACTCCAGCGTAACGATTTCCACCATCCTTATTCGCCTTATGACATCCAACTGCAGTTGATGCGGGCGCTATACTCTTGTCTCGAACAAGGAAAAGTTGCTGTTTTCGAGTCACCTACTGGTAAGCGTATTAGCTTCGTGCTAGCTTCATTTGCAGCTAATATAGCCAATCCCAGGAACTGTAAGTAAGGTTCTCATTTCATTTTACTCAACATGCACAGTAGGCACTTATTGGTCATCACCATATACTATCTAATAGCTCAGGAACACCTGGCTTAGGTAGCACAAGCTGGAGAATTCACCTAAATGTGCCGTGGCGTCATGGGATATGGCTGAATAACTCCCCAGGGAAAATCCTTAAGTTTAATATGTGGTTCCTTGACGTGGCTGCGAGATCACAAGCGTTCCGCCTTCCAGACGGCGGTTGACAATGCTACATGTAAGGTTCCTCATTACTGGATAGCCGAATTCCTTCACTAATCGTGCTCTAGGCGATGATGACGAACCTGAATGGATGCTGGATTTTGCCAGGCGTGAGTCGAGCCGGATGATAACCGAGAAGAGGAAGGAGCTTGAAGAGAGACTAGAAAAGACGAGAAAGGAAGAAGAGCAGCAGAGGATTGCGCTAGAGAACCCCGAAGGACCCCGGAAAAAGCAGGTATGAGGTTCAGCAATACTCCTGCCTCAGAATATCGGCTGACTAAAAACTCGTCGGTGCAGAAATACAGTATACCATTAACTGAATCTGGTGGGCTAAGTGAAGATCAGTTTACGCTGGATGACTACGACAGCGAAAATGAAGAGCATAGCAAACCGCGGGGTGAGCTGGCCCATACTAGCGAACTATCTCCTAGTACACTTGAATTGTTGGAACGATTTAAAGGACAGATCTCGACCGCCAAGCCAGGAAGTGACGATGAAGACAATGACGAAGTCAAGATATTTTATTGCTCCCGGACGCACTCCCAGTTAACCCAATTTGCTGGTGAACTGAGACGCGTCAAAATGCCATGGAGCATACCGAAGGACCTTTTGAGTACTGACTTGACAGGAGAAGAAGAACTCGAGGAGCGTGTGAAGCATGTCACTCTTGGTTCTCGGAAGAACCTCTGCATTAATCCCCGTGTCAGTTCATTGGAAAATGCAACAGCCATCAATGAGCGTTGTTTAGATCTACAGCAGCCCAATGTGAATCCTCAGCATAGATGTCCATTTCTGCCTTCCAAAGAAGATGAAAGACAGGTACTTCAATTCCGAGACCATGCATTATCAACAGTGAAAGACATTGAGGACTTGGGAAAGCTTGGCAAGAAGATTGGAATATGCCCCTATTATGCATCTCGCTCTGTTGTTAAGGATAGTGAGGTTTGTTGCCTTCGAGCCCGATCTTCAATTGACCTAGTACCTGATGAATGGCAGATTGTGACACTGCCATATCCCTTGCTATTGCAACGCTCAGCGAGAGAGGCTCTTAATTTATCTGTCAAGGGACATGTCATAATAATCGACGAAGCTCACAATTTGATGGACGCAATATCCAACATACACTCGGTAACGGTGACGCTTTCACAATTGCAGACATCCCTTTCTCAATTGACAATCTACGGCCGCAAATTCAAAACTCGCTTGAAGGGGAAAAACAGAAGCTATGTTGCTCAAGTTATCCGGCTCCTCAGTTCAATCGCTGCTCATCTTCGGTCGCTCCTTGAAAGCGAAAAGGCACCGGAGGGTCCTGTTCTGATATCTGAACTCATGTCCGGAAAGGGGATTGATCAGATCAATCCTTATAAACTGAGTCGATATTTACAAGAAAGCAAATTAGCAAGGAAAGTTGATGGATATGTCGAGTTCACTAGAGATCCCTCGGACAAGCAGGCGTCAGGGAGTCCCACAGTTCCTGTATTGTTCCACATACAGGGGTTTCTACTGTCTTTGATGAACCCCTCTGCCGAAGGGCGATTGTTCTACTCAAAGGAACAGGGAGATATCCAATTGAAGTACATGCTTCTAGACCCTACTAATCAATTTCGGGAGCTTGTGGAGGATGCAAGAGCCATCATATTGGCTGGCGGGACTATGTCACCCGTAAGTTTCGACAGCCATCAATGGTAGTATATTGGTATCTAACGACTTCGGCAGATGACAGACTACATGAACCATCTCTTCTCGTACGTCCCAGCTAGTCGTCTAGACACGTTCAGCTACGGCCATGTCATACCACCTGAAAATTTGATCGCTCACACACTGGTGCGGGGTGTTCAAGGCTCAGAATTCGACTTTACCTATGATGCCCGTGACTCTGAAAAAATGGTGAGAGCTTTTCTCTTTTGACGCCTAGCATCGTCCTCTGTCTGAAAAGAGGCTGACCTTTGTTACGTGGGCATTCAGATCATGGATCTGGGGCGGACGATAGCTACTCTCTGCCATGTCATCCCCGACGGCGTAGTAGCATTCTTTCCCAGCTACGATTACCTTGGCCGGGTCTTGAACATCTGGAAGAAGCCAATGCTGGGCGAGCAAGGTCAGACTGTGTATAACTTGATTGGGCAGAAGAAGCCCATCCTGTCCGAGTCCCGGGACATGACAGTCACTACTGAGGAGCTGCTCCAGACATACGCGAATACCGTTGATTCTGGCAGGGGTGCGCTTCTCCTGTCCGTTGTGGGCGGCAAGCTGTCAGAGGGAATCAATTTCTCTGACAAACTCGGACGGGGTGTGTTGATTGTGGGACTGCCCTTTCCGAATATACGGAGTGCAGTTTGGCAAGCCAAGATACAGTATATTGAGCAAAAAACACACCAGCAGGCTACAGGCTCTGAGGCAAGCCGGCAATTAGCAGCAAAAGCAGCAGGGAGGGACTTCTATGAGAACTCCTGCATGCGAGCAGTGAACCAGTGTATTGGGCGAGCCATTAGGCACCGTAACGACTATGCGGCGATTGTTCTCGTTGACAGGCGTTATGAAAAACCCGGTATCCAAGCGAAGCTACCGGCTTGGATCAAACAGAGTATGGTAGGCAGTTCGGTTCAACGACCTGCCGGTGCTACAGTTCAGAGTTTAGCAAAGTTTTTTGCCAGTAAATCAACCTGAATCGAGCTCAGATAAAGGCTTAAGCCGTTTCAGAACAATTATCACTTATATGATTCCACACATGCTCAGGATATTATAGATATTGTTTCCGGACGGTCAATGAAATCATCTGGGAGGAACCTATCTAGATGTATACTAGTCCTTTGTCGATCCAAACGATGACTGAGAATGTACTATGAACGGTTATGTAATCTAGTGGCGCAGGCGTCAATGCACGTGACGGTACTGCGCCCAGCCGCCAAAGGTAAGCCGCAGGGTTGGCCCTAAGTTAGGGCAAGCGAATTAGCGCACACTCTAGCCGCCCCGGAGCCTTGATTTCAACATCTGAGCCAGCAGTATACACGACCGCATCCCCCCATCGCCAACCCTCAGACCGGTCTTGTCGAGCTCAGCACCGTCGACAAGATGCCTACCCGTTTCTCGAAGACAAGGAAAGCGTGAGTCGCTTCAGTTCTCCCTTTCGCCTCCGGTGGTCGACCGTCCCGTTTGTCGTGGTCAATTTGCGACAGGCTTGTGGCCTCATCCGACCACCTTCCGCCCCGTCTACCAGAACAACAAGAAAACTGACTTTTGTGTCCTCTTCCTTAGCCGCGGTCATGTCTCGGCCGGTTACGGTCGCATTGGCAAGCACCGTAAGCACCCCGGTGGTCGTGGTATGGCCGGTGGTCAGCACCACCACCGCACCAACCTCGACAAGTACCACCCCGGTTACTTCGGTAAGGTCGGTATGAGGTACTTCCACAAGACCCAGCAGCAGTTCTGGAAGCCCACTATCAACCTTGACAAGGTACGTTTAAAATCGACAATACGATTCCAATCGAGAAGAGAAGCAGAAGGATGAGAAAGCGCAAGGGGTGGACGTTTTGTCATCACACGACGTGGATGAAGAATAGGAGAGCGAATAGAACAGGAGCGCGAGAACACATGAGACTGGAATACGTTTTGAAGGATGTGGGTAGCTGATCAATTCTCTTTCCAATATAGCTGTGGTCTCTCGTCCCCGCCGAGAAGCGTGACGCCTACCTGAGCGGCCAGAAGACCGACACCGCCCCCGTCATCGACCTCCTCCCCCTCGGCTACTCCAAGGTTCTCGGCAAGGGCCGTCTCCCCGAGGTCCCCATCGTCGTCCGCGCTCGCTACTTCAGCCGGGATGCTGAGGAGAAGATCAAGGCTGCCGGTGGTGTTGTTGAGCTCGTTGCTTAAGTGTGAAAAGTCTGGGATTTCACTAGGAGGATGAAAAACCGGGACAGGTGCTGCGCTGGCTACGATTCGGTGTAATAGAGATTCGAATTCTCCCCGGGGAATGAGAAAACAAAAAATGGGAGCCGCGGATCGGGCACCTTGATCCGTGTATTTACAAATTCAAAAGGGTTTCTATTTGTGACGAGCAAAGAATGGCCTCCGGATGCCCTTACGATCACGCTTCTATTATTGAACAATACCATAAAGGAGGACAACTTTTTTTTTTTTCTGTGGATATGTTCGCTCTTCCTCGATCTATGCTGCTACCGAGTATGCCGGGCCATGGCTTCTATCTTTGAACATGAAGGCAAGGCTCTTGAAATCAGTTGTCTGAGGATAAGCCAGCAGCGCCGGTACTGAGGATGTATATCCCAGATCTGAAATGCCCATTGAAGTTGCAGCAAAATACAGAATGCGTAGACCACTGGACTATGACCTACCTCTCCGCCTTCAAAGTTCGGGAGTTGTGGCTTTAGTTTATGCCCCTTGCTCGGTTATTGTAATGCACCAGTGGTATCCGTATGATAATGATCATATAATATGGTGAGCATAGTAGAGGACTATGTTGCATGATGTAGGTATGTGCAGGAACGGTTATATGTGTCTAGTATGTAAAAAGCGGTCGAAGTACACCCCGGGCAGAGAGAAAGGGTTCTAGATCTTCGATTCACGCACCGACCCCACCTTTCCTGGGGCTTTGTTGCTGGCCTCCAGGGTTTCACGAACAAAACGAGTTGCCTCATCCATCATCTTCCCGGTCATTTCGTGCCCAGCCTCTTCATCAATAAGATCTTCGAAGGTCACAGCACCATCGGCAAACCAGCCCTGTGAAGCAACAGCCTGCTTCAACCAAGCCAAGAACACCTCCCCGCGATGATAAGGGACCAGCTTGTCCTTGCCGCCAGCCAAATTGAGAATTCTCTTTCCGGCTATGGAACGGGCAAGGAATGGACGCAACGCCGCCTTCTCGCTCTCCGTCGGCTCCGGCAATGGTCCACTGCGAAGAGGACCGACATCCGAGGCCGACTTCACGTGGCTCAACAACAGACTTGCCGGATCGTACCTCCTCACAGCATCCAGCAGAGAAGAAGGAAACGCCTCGGAGCCGAGGAACTGGGAGCCTGGGGTATCGGTGCTCGTCCACGATGGCAATTTCGATAATCTGGCCCGATCAGCCATCAGATTCACGTAGTCTGGGCAGCCGATGATGACGACCCCAGCGCTTATGCGAGGTTCATGCAGAAGGCAGCTCCATGCTGCATGGCCACCCAGGGAAACACCCAACACCAAATTTTCGACGATCTTGCGATCGGAGTGGGGGAACACATAAGAGGGGAGGTAGTCGATCAGAAGAGATACGTCTCGGGCAGTGCCCTCTGTGGTTTCGAAAGAGAGAAAAGTGTCAGAGTCGGCAATTTTCTTTTGATAGCAAATGACTCAACTCACGAAAGATTGAGAACATATCCTGAGCATGACGAGGGTTTCCCTGTCTCCATGCTTCATTGGCTAGCGGATCTACCTCTCTCGTTCCATGATTCCGTTGATCGAATGCGACAGCAATGAGGCCCTTGGTGGGGTTCCTGGAATTCCAACCCGTGATGATGGTCGTTCCAATGCCTGTCATACGTTCTTGGGTACCCCCTCTGGGATGTAGGAGCCACAGACATGCAATGTCTGAGGTTTGTGTGGGGAGTTCATCAAGACCATAGACTGTGGTTTGGATCCCCGCAATTGGGTATGTCTTTCGCGAGACGGTTGAAACACCGCAGTAGCGGCTTGCGTTGTCGAGTGTCTTTATGGGATCAGCCATAATTCGTTGCTTGCTCTGTGGGTGTCTCGGTATTTTCTTTTGCTGGGTGTCTATAATGTGGTGATGGGGAATTGGTATTGCCGGGGGGGGGGGTTGTTTGATGGGCGAAGGTAGGTAGTTCGCCGATATATATCTAGTTGCCTCGGAGGCACTTTACCGAGGGGTGTTGCAAGAAAAGCATTACTCCACTATTTCTAGTAGTGAGTACTAGAGGGGCTCTCCTAGTAGCAGCAAGACCGAACATGACGGAATTTGCACTGCGCAGTGACAGGTACTCCATCTGCACATCTCGTATGCTCATCTATATAGTAGTCTCAGGTTATTATGCGGGCGTATTTGTAAAATACATTTGAAGTGCTTCAATGCTAAGAGCAAGCGGAATGCTGCTGGGAGGAGGGCCGTAGTTAAGAACACGCCATATCCAGATTCCAACGGGGTATTCATGAGGCAGTCTCATCCACTGTTCACATGAGCATGCGAGCATTAGCATTGCGGGCCTCCAGATTAAACACCCCTAAAAGATTCTCAGCCAACTACCACATTCTAGATGATTATTTGCCTGACGGTAACCATGTTAATCTTCATTGTCAAGCGGTGAGCTAAGCGGTGACCCTTTTCAGCGCCGAGGATCGGAATGTGTAACTTACTTATCCACATGGGTCGGGTGTTTGAAACGGTAAGAAACCTGTAACCAGCCATCCTGTGGCTGGTGAAATATGCGGTCTTTCAGCCAGGTCGGGGTTAGCTGCCTTAAGGCCAAAGTACCACGGTTGTGGCCCGGTTGTGCTTGGTTTCTCCCGCACGGAGTACCTTGCAAGTACCTCTCAAGTACCTCCCTCTCCCAGCAACCAGGTATTTGGAAAGGGAGTGTGACGGCGACGTAATCCGCACCTTGATTTTAGAACTTACTTACATCGTATTGCGTATTTTGTAAGCCGCTGAACCTTAGCAGTCTTTCTCCCCCCTTTCAGGAATGTTCTCAAAGCAAGAAGAAAGCATAAGGGTACCTTGACTTTGCTTCCAATCTTTCTTCTGGGGAAGCTGTTATTTATCCTACTGTATACTTAGTTGGGGTGGATGGGCAATCCTGGTGGTACTTGCAACCGAGGCCAAGATCCAGCCAATCTACCTAAGTAAGTAATTAGTATCTAGTAGATGGATATGCAGGTGCAAAGCAGCCCCATTCTGACCTCTCATAAGGGATTGATTGACTGATCGATTGATTTCCTGCCCCCTTTCCTCCGTGTCCCAAGTCGACCAGAACCAGCAGAACTGCGCCAAAGCGGGCCTTCCGTCTCCAGTCAGACCTGCGCTTCTTCTATGGGGCGGACTCCACCGCGGCTAACCATTGTCGCTGCTAAACCCAACGCTCCTTTCAAGTTTCACGTCCAGACGTTTCGGCCGTGTTGTCGACTATCCCCTTAATATCTGTTTACTGCTTGATCTTGCCGATCAGTCTATGTTCCGTCTCCCGGCTGCTGTGTGGTAGATATAGAATGTCCGTCTAATTGAAGATCCGAAACCCGTTTCAACAGGATCTTTTCGATCCGCATGTACGCCGTTCTCCCCCGCGCTCTTGCTCTTCCTCGAACACCCCCCTCCCCTCCCCCCTTAAAGCCATCTTGCTTGTCCGCTGACATTGCGTTCGTCCGCTCAGTATGACCGACTCTACGGTCAATCCCTCGGAAGAGAGGGGCTCTGAGAACAACTCCAATCGGTATTACTCGAGACAAACCGAGCCGATGTCGTTGGACAGCTCCAAGCTGTCATCGCCGCTTCCCTCCCCTTGCTCGACAAAGGATGACGCAGACAGAGCGAACATAGCTGATGGCGGGGATCAGGCGGAAGCCACGCCAACGGTCAGAGGTGTGGGAGATGCTCATTTCGACACAAAAGGAAAGTCGCGCGCAGAGCATGCCGGCGATTCTGGAGAGGAGAAAACGTCGAATGCCAGTCCCACCAACAAAGCGGCCTCGCTGAGCCTTCGACAACCGAACGATGCAACGGCAAACCAGCAGAATTCCGGGAGCCGGAAGTCGCCAACTTCGGCCCTGGGATCATCTGCCTCGCCTCGTCGCCCAAGTGTACAATTTACTCAAGACACTCCGGATGTTGACGCTGCCGAGCCATCTCAGTCGAGACCACCTTCGGTCAAAGGCGATGATGTGGATTCGGGCCTGAAGGGTAGGCAATCTTTACTGACGAAGTTGAAGTCTTTCGCAGCCTCGCCTTCGTTTACCTCCCACACTCGCTCAGCGAGCGGTGCGACGCTGAACGATTTCCGACCTACAAACAACGAACTGGCAACCCCTGGCTCGGAAAGAGGGGAATTCCGCTTCCCAAATACTTTGGAGGAGGAAGGCAGCGATATTGATGCCGACGCGGAAGAGAGTGCCGGGGAACAACGGGCCCGCCAGAAGAAACAGAAAAAGAAACAGCCACGTCGCCGGCAGCAGGATGATTCGGTGCCCCCATCGCAGCCAAATACCCCCAAGTTCACCAGCCGACCCTCATTCCACCTGCCGAGCTCCTTTTCCCCCTTCGAAAATTATCGCCCCAATTTCTTTCCGCGACGGGGCAGTACCGGTGATTTCACACCCCAACAGCGTGAGGGTGTCTCGGAGGACGAAGGCCGTGATCGCTTAAACAGGGATACTGCATGGAGACGGAAAAGCGCCTGGCTTGCTAACGCGCGGGGGCTTACTTACAGCGGACGCCAAATAGATGCACCGGCAAATCAAGAAGAAAGAAGACCAAGCAATCTAAGACGGCTGACTGGGTTAGCTGGACCTTCTGAGAATGCAGAAGGAACGGCACCACCCTGGAGGCGTCATCGGGCTGACCGCGGCTCGAGCCTTAGTGCTCAAAGGTGGCGGCAGATAAAGGCAGGTCTCAAGTTGATCGGACAGCGACGCAAGGTGGACAACACAGTAGACCATGCCAAGTCGGCAGAGCTACTCGCTGAGTTGACCTCAGGAGTGCCGGCCGCCTTGATACTGGCCAGCATGTTCCAACGAGATGAGCACGGTAGCAAGCGGATTCCGATTCTTCTGGAGCAGCTCAAGGTGCGGGTCACTGACAGCAAAATTGATTCTCATTCTGGAGATCGCCATCTCGTATTCCGTATCGAGTTGGAATATGGTAGTGGCATGACACGGATGAAATGGATCATCTACCGCACCCTGAGGGACTTTGCAAACCTGCACCTGAAGTATAAGTTGCATTTTGGGACCCAGAAGTACATCCAGCTGCGGAACACTGAAGGGGCTCAAAATCTCCCGCGCTTCCCTCGGAGTGCTTTTCCCTATCTTAGGGGCGTACGTGGGCTGGAAAGCGACATGGAGGATGAGGAGGACGAAGGTGGATATGAAACAGCTGCAGAGGCTACTAGTGGTAATGAAAGAGCTGCAAAAAAGCAGCAGCAAGCGCATCGCCGTTCGTCAGGTGGCCTATCTCGGAGACAGTCTACCGTAACGAACCCGGAAGCGGAGGGTGCTGCTGGGCCTTCAGGCCTTCCTGAAGCAGGGCAGGCCAGTAAAAAGGAGAGTTATCCAGAAAGACAGCGGAAGAAGCTCGAGTCCTACCTGCAGAAGTTGATCCGATTCCTCATATTCAAGCCAGATAGTAACCGTCTCTGCAAGTTTCTGGAATTGTCAGCCCTGGGTGTTCGTCTTGCGGCCGAAGGGAGCTATCACGGCAAGGAAGGCTTCCTGGTTATTCAGTCCTCCAAGGGTCTCGATTTCCGGCGCGCGCTGACGCCAGGCATGGTAAAGAAGCGACACTCTCCCAAATGGTTCCTTGTTAGGCACAGCTATGTCGTCTGTGTCGACTCCCCGGAGGAGATGAACATATATGATGTGTTTTTGGTGGATCCCTTCTTCAAACTCCAAACCCAGAAGGTCAGCTTGAGAAATCAAAAGGCGAAGGAGTTTGCCAAATCGGCGACAGAGTCAGCCAGGCATCCACAGCATCACACGTTAAGGCTCGAGAACTCGGAGCGCAAGCTTAGACTGCTGGCCAGGAATGAGCGTCAGCTCCATCAGTTCGAAGACTCAATCCGGTTCATGGTTAACAATACCCCCTGGGCAAGGCCGAACCGGTTTGACAGTTTCGCGCCGGTGCGACACAAGTGCTTCGCGCAGTGGTTGGTGGATGCGCGCGATCACATGTGGGTTGTGTCGCGGGCGATCAACCAAGCGAAGGATGTCATCTACATCCATGACTGGTGGCTGAGCCCTGAGCTTTACATGCGTCGGCCAGCGGCCATCAGCCAGAAATGGCGATTGGATCGCCTTCTCCAGCGAAAGGCTCGTGAAGGAGTCAAGATCTTCGTCATCATGTACCGCAACATCAACTCTGCCATCCCGATTGATTCGGAGTACTCCAAGTTTTCCCTCCTGGATCTGCATCCAAATGTCTTCGTGCAGCGATCACCAAACCAATTCCGACAGAACACCTTCTTCTGGGCGCACCATGAAAAGCTCTGTATCATCGACCACACCTTGGCTTTTGTAGGAGGGATCGATCTATGCTTTGGCCGTTGGGACACACCACAACATCTCCTCACCGACGACAAACCTACCGGGTTCGAAACACCAGATGGACCGAAGGATGCGGACCATTGCCAGCTCTGGCCCGGCAAGGACTACTCGAACCCGCGTGTCCAGGATTTCTACGACCTCGACAAGCCCTACGAGGAGATGTACGATCGAAATGTGGTTCCCAGGATGCCCTGGCATGACATTTCCATGCACGTCGTCGGACAACCGGCTCGAGATCTTACGCGCCACTTTGTCCAACGTTGGAACTACATCTTGCGCCAGCGAAAGCCCACACGTCCCACGCCATTTTTGTTACCCCCGCCAGATTTCGAGCCGGCTGATATGGAAGCCCTCGGCCTTGATGGTACCTGTGAGGTCCAAATCTTACGCTCGAGTAGCATGTGGTCGACTGGAACCCCCGACATCACGGAGCATAGTATCATGAATGCTTACGTTAAGCTAATCGAGGAGTCTGACCACTTTGTATACATTGAGAACCAGTTCTTTGTTAGCACGTGTGAAATTGATGGTCGGAAGATTGAGAACTCGATCGGCGATGCTCTCGTGGAACGAATCACCCGGGCAGCAAAGAATAAGGAGGCCTGGCGTGCCGTGATTGTTATCCCACTGATGCCGGGCTTCCAGAACACCGTGGATAGTGAGGGTGGAACGAGTGTCCGGTTGATCATGATGTGTCAGTATCGCAGCATTTGTCGTGGGGAGACATCCATCTTCGGCCGGCTGCGAGCGTTGGGAATCGAACCTGAGGATTACATACAGTTCTTCAGCCTTCGAACCTGGGGAAAGATCGGCCCTCAAGATCAACTGGTCACCGAGCAGCTCTATATCCATGCCAAGTGCATGGTTGTTGATGACCGAGCTGCCATCATTGGGTCTGCCAACATCAACGAACGCTCCATGTTGGGGTCTCGCGATTCGGAGGTGGCGGCGGTTGTTCGGGATACGGACATGATATGGTCTTCCATGAACGGCCGCCCTTACCTTGTGGGACGGTTCCCACACACTCTCCGTATGCGTCTCATGAGAGAGCATCTTGGTATTGACGTCGATGAGCTGATGGAGCACTCCATGGCAACTGAGGAAGAGCTCCGCCGGATCGAAATCGTTGAAGAAGGGTCGAAGCCTCCCGAAAGTCAGCTAGACTCGGAATCGCTGATGCTGGAGAAAAAGGACGAGAGAGATATGATGGAGCGTCGACACCGACTTCAAGACGAATTTCTCTCAAGGTCTGAAGACATGCACAGCTTCAACCATGACGTTGACTGGGAGCAGGGAAATAACCCCAACCTCAAGTCGAACCGAAAGCTCACTGCCGACCCGAGAGTGACCTCTAATGCTGAGCACAGGAAAGACGTGGACGGCTTTGGTGCCGATAACCTCACCAAAGCCGTTGGGGCTGGCTTGGGCGATGCCCGTGATTCTGAGTTCCTTGGCCCGAGGACGGAAGTCCTGATCTCTCCCGTTGCATCCGAGGGCAAGGGCACTGTCCAGCAGCCGAAACAACCCTCGCAACGCAATACCCACCGCGCAAACGCTGGAGCTGATAGAGAAGGCAATCACAGTCTCAGTCCCGTCGTGGAGCATGGTAACGAGGGGGCACAGGTCGTGGAGGGATTGCCCGCGGTTCGCCATCCAGCACTGCCGGTGGAGCAGGAGTCTGAGAGTAGCCATAGCGGGGTCCAGACGGCTTCACGGGAAAAACATGACCCTATCAAGTCCGCTCACTTGTTCTCTTCTGACGTAAAGCACGTCTTTATCGACAAGGATTGCATGCGCGACCCTGTGATCGACTGCTTCTACCTGGACACTTGGCAAGCTGTAGCAGATAAGAACACCAAGATTTACCGAAATGTATTCCGCTGCATGCCGGACAGCGAAGTGAAATCGTGGAAAGAATATAAAGAGTATGCTGCCTATGCGGATCACTTCGCAGAGATGCAGAGCCAACACAGTACCAAAGCATACCAACCCACCAGCCAAAGACAAACCGGACCGCCAGGAACGGGGGCCAGCATGGCTGGAGCAGCTGCTGGACTCAAGCATACTCTATCGGTCCATGCTCAGAGTGCCGAGGGAGCAAAAGTGGAGGCTAAAGATTCACCTGTCGAAAAGAACGATGTCCGTTCGACAGAAGCCGGTCAAAAGTCGGACACACATAATGCTGAACACAGAACTTCTGATGGGCTGGTGCCGGTAAATGAGAAATCGACGATGAAAGGAGCTGATGGGACGGTGACGGGGCACATGCCAAATGGACGACATGAGGAAAGTGGCTCGTCTGGTGAAGATCAGGAGAAGCAGCGATCTGATCCGCCGCTCGTGGATTATTCCGAGGCTTTGAATCGGAATGCCACCGGTCAGTCTCGACGACGCCGACGAAGGGCGACGACGCTCGGCTCGAAGCGGGAGTTTCATGCGACGGATGAGGTGATGGACAAACAACGAGCTGAAGAGCTCTTGAATCACGTTCAGGGACATCTGATTCTGTGGCCCTATGACTGGTAAGCAATCCCCCGTGTTTGCATCATTGACATGCCGTTGCCGCCTACTCACTCTTTGACTTCCATAGGCTCGAAAAGGAAGAACAGGGCGGAAACTGGCTTTACACGCTGGATCAGATCTCTCCGCTGGAAATCTAGTAAGTCGAAGCCCGGCGTGGACACAAACGCATCGCATCAAATGCTAACTGTGGAGCAGCAACTGAGTCGCTGTCAATGTGTGTTCACTCGATGTACTAATTCTATATTGATTCACACTTGCCGATCCCCCTTTCCGTTCTGAACCAGATTTCTTTCTTCTACGATTATCACAGCCCCTTCTTCCCCCACCTCCCAACATTATCATTGAAAGTCATCCCGTGTATCTTCGGGTGGCTGGTGGTTGACAGCTCACTGCATATCAAGCGGGCGTTTGTTTTCTTCAGGCGTTCAATGTTCCAACTTCTATTCTCTCCATGTCATCATCTCACTGATACCTTACTACGCATCCTAGTGGCCTGGCACGTGTGTCGGCAGCACCGGGTATTGTCTAATAGATTTGGATGTTAATTAAATCTTTTTGAGGGAAGAGTATATATACACAGAGGTGTTCCCCATACATGGGGCTATAGTACATGGATGATTAAGAAAGTAAAGATGGCTCTTTGTTAAGTAGAAGATCTTAGTCCGCAATACGTCACGTGGGATCGACCGTCCCGACAGTAAGCCGGTCGCGCACTTGATTAAAGTCATCAAAATTTACCTGCAAGATCGAGTTCAGCAGACTGTGATCCAGAGTGACAGGCGCGCACTGCTCCCAATGTTTGAGAGCCATACGAAGACGCCCGTGAGCGCGCGCAAACGCCACTTGCAGCTGTGGGGTATCAAGACAAGAACAGCCCAAGTCATCCAGATAATTGGTGGGGTTCTGCAGACATAGCCGTGTAGCCGCGGCCGTGTTGCCCATGGACGCGGCGGATTTCTTCATATTGATGATGGCTCGCTGACCGCGCAAATGGGCGGGGACCTCGTCCGGCTCACTTGAGAACATTCGGCTGGCGGAGCGAATGGTGTCTGCATCAAAAGTACTCGGAGGATCGACGGCAATTCCGGTCGTCGTGAGATCGACGTCGGTGCCATACATTTGGAGAAAGGCGAGGAGGCGCTCGCCTAGGCCGTCGGGTGGCTGGAACTTGCCGTGGTTCAGCTTTAGGAACGCTACAATGAGCATGACCAGGGCTTCGGGTTTGAGAGATCTCGGACCCTGGCCACATAGGCCTTGGGATTCGAGGAGGAGTCGCGCGGCCATGTAGAGAGGTCGGACGGAGGGGTATTCGGCACAGTAGTCCTGGATGTACTCGACCATGGGAGGTATGTCTTCTCCGCAGTAGAAGCGTACGCGGAGACCCGTCTCGTGATGGACGGTGGTAAATGGGTAGGCGATGTTGTTGCTGAAGGATTGGCATTCCTGGAAAATCTGTTCAACGCCTCGGAGCAGGCGCTTATGCTGAGTGAGAATCTGCGGACGCGTGGCGCTTGGTTTTCGAACAAGTTCGTTCGACCGTATTGAGTCTGGGACGGGGAGAAGAAGGTCCAGATGGGAGTGGCTCATGGCTAACCCGGTTCGCCATGATCCGATGATACAGGGGGCACGGGGCGCAGTCCCTTCCAAAAGACCAGCTATATGCGCGGTTATTCGATGAACGCTCTCCTCCTCTGGTGGGCTCGGACTGAGGTATTTTTCAAGTGCCTTGATCTCCGCATCGAGCTGGGAGAGGCCGTCACTGAAGGGCCGAGTTGAGTCCAAGTCATCCAACCATGGACATTGAACTGACCGGCCCCTTTTAGGATCAGCATCCCAGTGTATCAGCTGAGGTGCGTAAGTAGTCCGAGGCGGTTGATAGGACTTCTGAATGGAGCGAAGTCTCCTCTTCGAGCCTTTTGGGGTCGAGGAAGACTGGCCCAGAGTTACATCCGCGGTGGATGAATCGTTTGATGACCCATCGCCGCTTGCAACCTCTGCAGGTGACGATTCAGAATGGTCTGGTTTAGTCGGTATCCTGCGAATTAAACTAGCTCGATTCGAGGAACGGTGGGCTTCGAGGGTTTTTTGCAGACTATTTTTGAAAATTGCCGGATCCTTGGGGGACGAACGGGTTTGGTGGAAGTATCGCGGCTTCAGCGGATAGGATATAGAGGGGGCCAAATAAGCGGCAAGCGACGAGGAAGAGGAAGAGAGGAAATGGTGTTTGGAGGGGCGAAGAACGCGCATGACCGCGCGTTCAGCAGGGCAATGGAGGCATTGCGGAGAAATTGTTGCAACCGGGGGCATAAACCGGAGGAAAGGGAAGTATACTGGGTATACTTGGGACCGGACGGCGCTAAGTTCCGGACAAACCGAGTCGATAGGAATGGATGGAGATGAACGAGGACGGGTGATCTCGGACGGGATGCTGGGGATGAGTCGAAGAGGAGAGAGAGAAGCGAGGCAAGAAGTCGAAGCAGGGAATTCGCGATAATGATAATGTCGCAGTGTCGGATAGACTAACAGGAACTACTCGTTAGTGATTGGTTACCTTATTAAGGATAGTACTGTCAGGTGCTGCATATGCACGTGACTACTGGCCGTGATCTGGCCAGCCCTAGCATGATCGACTGGTTAGGTCTTCACATGTCACACCCCCTGTCGGGGAAAATGGCGATCTCAAATCTGCAAATCGAATCTTACTGTGTAGACTTCATCCATCCTTTGCCCTTTTTCCTTCTTCTTCTTCTTCTTCTTCTTCTTTTTTCCCTTCCGATACTTTCGCTTCTTAGCTTCTGTTAGTTCTTCCTTTGCTAAAGCTAATATCCCTAGTGGATCCAACTGCATCCCATGACATGGACAAGTCTCGATGGGGTTGTCAGGGATCGGGCAAGTTTCATCCGGCATCTTCTCCCACATGCCTGAACACTCTCGCGCGCTTTGCTCATGGTTTCGGCCGATGCAAGACTCGCTACCTAATGGGTTAGACACGTTTGAAGAAGGATTAGAAGATTTAGGTTCGGTTAGGCACTGTTGCTATTCCCTGGGCCCAACTTCCCGGGTTATTGTCTAGTCTGCCAACTGACTACTACTGTACTTGCTCGTGTCAACCTGACCTGCGCTACTTTGACAACTACCAAAGAAGTTTGAAATGAGATACTATGGGTAGTAGTAGTAGTAGGACTAGTAATAAAAATTGCTCTGTAAGAATACTAGTAGTCCTAAAAGGTGCGAAATAGTAGAGGGAGGGGAATAGCAGGTGGGCCATTTTCCTCCTGTTCGTCCGAACTGCAGATTGGAGGATCATGACGTATCCGAGCAAAATACTAGTACTAACTACTTAGTAGTATCTGGAACACTGTTATGGAGATGGCGGGGGGTTCCCAATCCATTACTTTCTATTCTTACCAAACATCATCATCACCATCACCATCATCGTCAATTATTTTACTCCTGACTCCCTCCATGGCAGACCAAACCCACCACGGACACGGAACCGGTTTCCCTGACCTTGTTCGGTTTCAATAATAGTACTAAGTAATCATCAACTCTTTCGTTTCCCCCTATAATCCCCACCCGCTATACGCCTTCTTTTTCCTTCCATCAGCCCTCGCCGCCGAGTCTGGACCATCCTAGGCCCATTCCTCCCCCCGATCCCTTCGCTGCCTCTCTCTCCCCTTCGGCGTCCTTCTATCTGAACCCGTGCATGAGGGATTGGCTGTTTTATAAGCAAACCCTGCCGACAGACCGCCGACCAGCTGATACTACTACTTAGTTGGCGTTGCTTTGCGTGCATTAACTTGCTTGATTGTCCGATTGGGGGTGATTGGCTTACTATTCCGGGATTGTTTGGGGAAGTTGGGTTCAGTTAAGTTGCAAGTCTGTGGAAAGAGAACTACTAGAACTTTTGGGGGTTCTCTGAGATTATTTCCCGCCGACATTCCCAGTCTCCCTAAATCAGTCAGACTATACATATCCAGTGATAGATCACTTGCATCTCATCCATCCTCACGATTGACTACTATAGTTAAATCGTTCGTCTTGGAGGTAAGTAGTTCTTATCTTAGTATCTTTCCACCTTCCCGCTTCACCGCCTCCCTGCTTGGTGGTGGTGGTGGTGGTGGTAATGGTGGCTGCTGCTGCTGCTGCTGCTCTCTGCCCTGCTTTCTGTCTCCCTCACTCTTCTTCCTCCTCCCTCCCCCCCCCACTTGCCTCATTCTCTCTCTCTCTCTCTCTCTCACATCATAATTGAATCTCTGCCCACTAAACCAACTTCTTCCTCCCTCTTTCTTCCCATCGTCACACTCTTGTTCCCCCATTCTTTCTCTTTCTGACGAAGGGAATTGATCATTGTGCCATCGTTCATCCATCTTTCAGTGCCATTTACTAGTTCCTCCTTTCCCCCCCATGGCCTAGTCCGCCTTCTCTTCTGGCCCGCTCTCTTCCCTGTTGGCAACCCCACCAAACACCCTCTCTCTGTCTGTCTCTCTCTCTCTCTTTCTCCATACATACCAATTCATACCCAGGTACTCCAGCTTATCTCCCTTTCCACCCCCCCCTCCCTAATCTACATTTTCCTCGCCCCCTCCCCCCCCCAAACCGAAGCTTAAAAAAGATACTTCCAACGCTTCTTGCCCCTTCTTTTATTTCTCCCCCGAAACCAACACAGTCTTCTCCATTGCCATTTTCTTTTCTCTTTATCACCGGAATCCAAAAGTCACCCGATTCTCCACAAAAATTCCAGGTGTGAATCTAACTAATCGCGCTACCTCTCAGATTGACTGCAGATTGGTTCCCGTTCTGCCTGTCATTGACTTACTGTGATTTCTCGCTCCGCCGCGTCCGTTTTCGTCATGGCCGCCGAACAACGGTCTGCCGCCATGCCCGATGGCCAGCCCAATCCGGGCCCCATTGGCTCTGGCCTGAATGTTCTGGGCGAAGATGCGTTTTTGAATGCCTCAAATGCCACCCCAGATCTGCGGGGTGAACAGTCCCAACCCTCCACCCTTCCCGATGTCCCTTCCTACTTTTCTGATATTCCGGGGAACCACGCTTCTTCGGTCCCCCCAGCTGTCGCTTCTCCCATCACTCCCGCTCAGGCTGTCAAGGACGCCAAGTCTGGTCCCGAATTGTTGCGCCGCTTGAGTCTCATAGAATCCCCCATCATGCTGGACGCCGACCCTCGCGAACAATACCCCAGCCTGCGTCTTACCGGCCGAGTCATCAGTGCTGCTTTCTGTATCCCCTATAAGCTCTATCTCCATCCCGGGTCCGACTGGGTAAGTCCTTTCTCCCCCGCCAGATCACTCGTAATGTGAGTGGGAATCAACAAGAGGATTTCGCTGATCGAACGGGGCCGTAGGAGTTGAAACCCCGTCCGGGAACCTCCGCTTTATTTGACTCTATGGCCTACCTTGGTTCTGGCGAATCGAGATGGTCTCATACCCTCGTTGGCTGGACCGGCGAGGTCGAACCGGTCCAGGAGACAGCGATTCCTCTGCAGCAGATTCCCATCAACACGAGTGCCAAAGTGCCAACCACCCTCAACGGTTCGGCCTTGCCCCTCAATAAAGCTGCCGCACCGGTGCCGGTGGATGCCAACCAACGCCTACCCAGTCATCCTCTCCTGGATGGCTTCGAAGTGGACCTGGAGGACCGAGAAAGGCTCGATAAGCAGTTGAGCTCCAGCCGTTACGGTAAAATCGTGCCGGTCTGGTTGACTGGTGAATCGGAACATCCAGACGACACGGTCTTCTTGGACGACCAGGGCCGGTGGAGGCGTTACGCCGAGCGCGAGCTCTACCCACTCCTTCACTACAAACAGCATGGGCCCACGGACGGCAAATCGGAACGCAAGTGGTGGGCCGACTACGTCCGCATGAATCGCCTTTTCGCCGACCGCATTGCACAAGAGTACAAGGAAGGAGATATTGTCTGGATCCATGATTACCACCTTTTCCTGTTGCCGAGTATGCTGCGTCAACGCATCCCCAACATCTACATTGGCTTTTTCCTTCATGCGCCATTCCCCAGCAGTGAGTTCATGCGCTGCTTGGCCAAGCGCAAGGAGGTGCTTACGGGGGTTCTGGGGGCCAACATGATCGGCTTTCAGACGTTTTCATACTCTCGGCACTTCTCATCTTGCTGCACGCGTGTCCTTGGCTTTGATTCCAACTCGGCCGGTGTGGACGCCTACGGTGCTCATGTAGCAGTGGACGTCTTTCCGATAGGTATCGATACAAAGACGATCCAAAAAGCAGCCTTTGGGTCTGCGGAGATAGAAAAGGCTGTCTTGGGTATTCGCAAACTCTATGCCGGAAAGAAGATTATTGTCGGTCGTGATCGACTGGACAGTGTCCGCGGTGTAGCCCAGAAGCTGCAGTCATTCGAGGTGTTCCTCGAGCGGTACCCCGAATGGCGGGATAAAGTAGTCCTGATTCAGGTGACCAGCCCAACCAGCGTCGACGAGCAGAAGGAAGAGAACAAGATTGCCAGTCAGGTCTCTAATCTGGTTTCTACCATCAACGGCCGGTTCGGGTCATTGAGCTTTGCTCCCGTCAAGTACTACCCGCAGTACCTCTCCCCTCATGAGTACTTTGCGCTCCTGCGTGTCGCTGACGTCGGACTCATCACCACGGTCCGGGACGGCATGAACACGACCAGTCTGGAGTACATCATCTGCCAACAGAATAATTATGGCCCCCTGATCCTCTCCGAGTTCTCTGGTACGGCGGGGACTTTGTCCAATGCCATTCATATCAACCCATGGGATACCGTCGGTGTGGCGGGAGCCATCAACAAAGCCCTGACCATGTCTCCGGAAGAGAAGATGTCACAGCATCAGAAGCTCTACAAGCACGTCACTGCAAACACAGTTTCGTCCTGGTCAAAGCAGTTTGTCACTCGTCTCCTCACCAACCTCTCGTCGTTCGACCAATCGGTGGCAACACCGGCCCTTGATCGGGCCAAGCTGGTGCGGCAGTATCGTCGGGCTCGGAAGAGACTATTCATGTTTGACTACGATGGTACTCTTACTCCGATTGTCAAAGACCCACAAGCTGCGATTCCCTCGGATCGGGTGCTACGTACCATCAAGTCCCTCGCCGCAGACCCACGGAATGCAGTTTGGATCATCAGTGGACGTGATCAAGCCTTCTTGGATGAGTGGATGGGCCACATTCCCGAGCTAGGACTGAGTGCAGAGCACGGGTGCTTCATTCGCAAGCCCCACTCGGATGACTGGGAGAATCTGGCCGAACGGAGTAACATGGGCTGGCAGAAGGAGGTCATGGATACGTTTCAGCACTTCACAGAACGGACACAAGGCTCCTTCATCGAAAGGAAGCGCGTGGCCCTGACGTGGCATTATCGCCGGGCGGACCCGGAGTATGGAGCGTTCCAGGCCCGCGAATGCCGGAAGCAGCTTGAAGACACCGTCGGGAAGAGATGGGAAGTTGAAGTCATGGCCGGGAAAGCCAACTTGGAAGTTCGGCCGACGTTCGTTAACAAGGGATTCATCGCGGCTCGCCTCGTCAATGAGTACGGCACTGGCCCTGGGCAGGCTCCTGAGTTCATCTTTTGCTCCGGGGATGACTTTACAGATGAAGGTAAATGCGCTCTCCCTTCCCCCTCCTTATCTCATCCTGCATTCGCTAACAGGACTTTTCTGTTATACACAGACATGTTCCGTGCCCTACAGAAATTCGACCTGCCGCAAGATCACGTCTACTCGGTCACTGTCGGTGCGAGCTCGAAGCAAACGGCCGCCAGCTGGCATCTCCTGGAACCCGCCGACGTGATTGAAACCATTTCGATGCTCAACAATAGCTCATGCTCCCAGGAGTATTGAGGGTTCTGTTAATACTGCACCGGTGGTCTTTCTTGAAGCGGGGACAGGGTCTCCGCGTAACCGCCTTTGAGTTCCATTTAAGATCTGCGATTATTGATATATGTTTCTGCTATTCTTTTTTTTTCCAGGCGTAGAGGAGATGCTGTGGTGGCGGCGATTTGTTAGAGGGCGTCACGAAGCGGGTTATGCATTCGGCATTTGGATTCGGGGGGTCGTTCAGCCATTAGCGAGAGTCCAGCATGGGGTTTTCTCCTACCTTTTCTTTCTCGTTTCTTATTCACTTTGTCTTCTTTCCAACCAAGCCCCTGCCTTCCTTCCAACCTTTGATCTTGAATATTTAAAAACTCGGGCATGACTGCTTGACGCTCGAGACAGACAGCATGGATCCCTGTTTATGGTGCTTCTAATTGACTATATATAGATGGGTCGGCCACGAGTGGCCGATGCCCTCCACTGTTTTGATGCGTTAGAATAATATAGAGCTCCGCTGAAGGGCACGATTCGACAAATTCGCTCCTGCTCACAACTCGTAACAAGGCAAATTACTAAGTCAGTAGCAGTCTTTTCGCGTTGCCTCTGAGAACAATGATGGTCATCAGTGCCGCAACAGGATACTACTACTACTACTACTACTACTACTACTACTACTACTACTACTAGTCGTCTTATCTCCTTCTTTTCCTTTCCCTCGTCCCTACTTACCAACTAATACCTTGCAAACACTTACCACTCGCTTTCATGTTAAATCATCACATCTATCAGCTCCGGCTGGAAGGGCTTATTTTCTCCATGCGCTATGAGTGCGGATGGACCCTCAAGTGGTCAATAGTGGTCAATTCACTTTTAAATTGGCGCTCACATATTTGATTGGTTATTGTTTTGGGCCCCCTCCTCCTTCTTTTTTTTTTTTTTTTTTTTTTTTTTTTTTTTTTTTTTTTTTTTTTTTTTTTTTTTTTTTTTTTTTTTTTTTACTTTTTTTTTTTTTTTTTTTTTTTATTCTTTCACCTTCCCTCCTTCAATTATTTGGTAGTATATAGTAGTTGAATCACGTTGTTAAAGTAGGAAGAGAAGAAGGATGGGGAGAAGTCCGCTGCACGTGCCTTAACTTTTTTTTTTTCCGGAGAATTATGTGAAACATACAATCGAGCACGGTAAGTAGTACTAGTATAGAGTTACCAAGAAGCCGGACTGTATCGGCAGTATCTCTCCTATTGCTTTCTCTTCTTCTTCTTCTTCTTCTTCTTCTTCTTCCTCTCCCTCTCTCTCTTCTTCTCTATCTTTTGACAACGCCTCCTCACTTGTTCATCTATCCAGGGATGACCCATCACATCGGCAATGGTATTCCCCTCCCCCCAACCAGCTAAATAGCTCGAATGGCGGGGAGGGGTTCCACTTGCCAATTTCCCCAATCCCAGCAAGGATCCTGGAGCCCCGGGTTTTGGGACCGTGGTGCACCATGACAATAGGGCGTCGAAGTAACCCGGCCTAACTATCGACAAGGTATTCCGACTGTCGCTTGCTGTTGGATCCCAACCTGATCGTCCTCGTTCTTTAGCCGATTCGGCACGACATTGCCGACCTTCCTCCCCGCCATGATGGCGGTTTGGCTTTCGGCCTTCTTTGCGAGCCGTCCAAGCCCTAGCTGATTTTCTAGTCTTACTTCGCTTCCTGACTCACGCGGCGTATCCGTCGTTCCTTTATCTATCTAAATTTTTACAAGGTTGATCCTCAAAAAGTCCTTGGCAGAAAGACGCTTCCAACACTGCTACAACCAATTGCCGCCGATGCCGTCTGCTGGACGCTCCTTGAGTCATACGCACATATCAACTCGCTTGATCTCTGTCAAGTCGACAGCTGGGGCATCGATGCATACTTCATAGTGCCTGATCCTTGACCGTTTCTTTCCCCCTTCTGTTCCAGATCCCAATCCCACTTCGCGTTGATCAGTTACGTGCGCGCCATCACTTCGATTGATTGCCTCCACAATCCAGAGTGTCCTTGCCATCCCATTTGGTCTTGCATAAGCCAAGTAAGAAAAAGAAGCTGAGTACCTAGCAGACTGGCTGGCTCATCTCCCCACTGGTGTCTACCTGCTTCCACTTACTCGGAAGCATCAGAATAACCGTTTGAAATACACGAGACTTCAAACAGAACCCTTTCGAAAATCCGTGATATCCCTTCGGGATATACTTTCCCACAAGATGGCCGCTAGATCATCGCATGACACCCAACAGGACTTGGCCATCTCCACAGATGATGAGAAAGGTGGATCCAGCCAGGCTGCCAACGCTCCTGTCCCTGACCGATTCCTTCCGCTAGGGAATGAGAAGGGCGATGAAGAAGTAGCCCTCGGCCCCGAAGCACAGAAGCAGTTGTCGAAAACCCCGACCAATGTTAGCCATGTTGGCGCACTGGCCAGTAGAACCTTGACCCTAGTCCGCACCAGGGAGTCTGGAAGGGACCTGGGACCTCCCCCCGATGGTGGCTTCAAGGCATGGTCTCAAGTAGCCTTGGCTCATTTCGTCATCTTCAACACCTGGGGCTACATCAATAGTTTTGGTGTGTTCCAAACCTACTATACCGAGACGCTAGGTCGCACCCCGTCCGATATCTCCTGGGTAGGCAGTATCCAGATCTTCTTACTCTTCTTTGTCGGCACCTTCTCTGGACGCGCAACCGACGCCGGGTATTTCAAAGCCATTTTGACCGTGGGGGCTGTCCTGGAGTTGTTTTGCATCTTTATGACCTCCCTGTGCACGCAGTACTGGCAGCTGTTCCTGGCTCAGGGCGTTGGTCAGGGCATCGGTTGTGGACTGATGTTCTGCCCGACCATTGCGCTGATGCCGACCTACTTTACCAAAAACCGAGCGATTGCGATCGGAATCGTGGCCTCGGGCTCTGCCACCGGCGGCCTGGTCTTCCCAGCGGTTGTCATGCGACTCCTACCTCGGATCGGGTATGGCTGGACCATGCGGACCCTGGGGTTCATCTCATTGGCGACGCTGATTCCATGCCTGGTGTTTCTCCAGCAACGACTGCCTCCGCGTCGCAGCGGACCGCTCGTCGAATGGGGGGCGTTCAAGGAGGCGCCCTATGCGTTGTTCGCCCTGGGGATGTTCCTCAACTTCTGGGGCCTCTATGTAGGGTTCTTCTACATTGGGAGCTTCGCCCGCAACATCATTGGGGTCTCCAACTCGACGTCGATCGACGTACTTCTAGTCATGAACGGCATTGGTCTGCTGGGCCGGTTGATCCCCAACCTGATGGCCGACCGGTATACGGGACCCTTGAACATGTTGATCCCCTTCAGTCTGGTGACGGGAGTGGTGGCGTTCTGCTGGGCTGCGGTTCACACTTACGACGAGATGTATGCCTTCAGTGCGTTCTATGGGCTGGCGGCAGCGGGAATCCAGTCGCTCTTCCCGGCCACCCTGAGCACGCTCACCACGGATTTAAAGAAGACAGGAGTGAGAATGGGCATGGTGCTCAGTGTAGTGGCTGTGGCTGCGCTGATCGGCACCCCGATCGCCGGGGCACTGGTCGATCGGGATGATGGACAATATCTGTATGCGCAGATGTTCATGGGCAGTGCGATTCTGGCGGGGACGCTGACCTTGATTGCCGCGAGAGTGACGAAGCTGGGGCTGACCTGGCAACGAGCGTAGCCAGGATGACTACTGAATGGGGAGAAGTGGAAGATGAGCCAACTGTACATACAGTAGAAATCACAGTAAAGCAGTAGATAAAGGAGTAACTAAGAAATTACTTATGAGATGGCATGACGATCACACCAATGAGCGAGCGCGCCTTAGTCAGGCTCTCCGCCTGGTCTGGGCAACTGGCGGCGTGACTCAAAGCTGTTTTTGGTACACTATTTAGTTAGTTATCGAGAATGTAGCTTACTCAATGGGGAGGAAATTTTCATTCGCAGCCAAATATCAACAGCTCTATCATATCTCAGACCACTGTTAGTCTCTGACTGGACTGCAAAGTTAGGATTTGCGCAGCCTCTGCAGTGGATTGTAAGTGCCCGTCGATCTGACGGTGCTTCCCCGCCGCAGCCCCTCCGAATGAATGCTTTTGTTTGACTCCGCCATCCCTCTATTCCTTCTCTCACTCACTCAACCCTCAACCTTCTCCCCGCTGACTCAAGATCTTCTTTGGCAACAGGGAGGAAGCAAGCCTACCTAGCCTTGATACCTCTGCTTCATTCAAATTTAACTACTCGCCTTATACCACAACTTATTCCACAACCCATATATCATGGCTCCCCGCGGTCGCGGAAAGTTCTCCAAGCCCTCTCGCGGAGGTACGTTTTTTTGTCCCTCAGGGCCAACACACCCACCAGCTCTTTAGAATAAACTAACCATACGTATAGGTGGAAAGCGCTTCAGTCGAGACGTCCAACCCGTCGATAAAGACGGTAACCCTGTGGGCTTGTGGCGGGTACGCATCATCCCATACCTATCCTCCGCCCCAACCTCTTGCAAAGAAACACTCCTAACCACAAAAAAAACCAAACACAGGACGCAGATGAGGACGTCCCCTCCTCGATAGACGAAGATGAAGAAGACGGCAGCACATCCGGCTCGGACTCAGACTCCTCCGAAGACGACACCCCATCCTCCACCAAGCCCGGCCCCTCCTCCTCTATCCCACCCACAGATTCCGCAGCAACAGCAGCAGCCCCCGAACTCACCCGTGAAGAGCGCCGCGCAGCAGCAAAGGCTAAAAAGCAAGCTGCGCAGGCCCGTCGACTCCAGACCGCCGCGCAACCGGGCGATTTACCCCCATCCTCGTCAGATGACGAGGACCACTCTGAAGGATCGGATGGCGAGGATGAGGATCTACCGGCGAACCCGAACCATACGAGTAAATCTCGGTCTCAGTTGAGTAGTAACGCGACTGGTGGTGGTGGTGCTGGTGGTGGTGAAGGGAAAGGCAAGGATCAACAGGATCTGTCGCAGCTCTCGCGACGGGAGAGGGAGGCTATTGAGGCGCAGCAGGCGAGGGAACGGTACTTGAAGCTGCATGCGGAGGGGAAGACGGAGGAGGCGAGGGCGGATTTGGCGCGGTTGGCACTAGTTAGGGAGAAGAGGGAGGCGGAGCGGTTGAGGAAGGAGGTCGAGAAGGAGGAGAAGGCTGAGGCGGCGAAACGGAGGGCGGAGGAGTTGAAGGCGAAGTTGGGGGCGAAGGGAGGTGGGAAGAAGGGAAAGAAGGGGAAGTAATTGATGGGTTCATTTTCTCGGTTTGGGTTTAGATTTTGGTTACTGAGTTTGTTTGGCCGGTTGGTGTGGCTTGATACCTGTGCCATTGGTTAAAACATATGATATTACACTGAGGATTTTGTATTTCTGATGTGAGTCGAGGGGGAGAGGGTATAGTGGGAGAAACAGTAGCAGATATGAGTCTATGATAGACGCTATATAACCCAGCTATGCTGTACAGTATGAATCATATGTCTTTTGCCTGCCCTCATATGGGCAAAGTATAACAGAGACCACCAGAACAAACCTATGCAATCATTATGCTCCCGGACCCATTTCCTGAACGGACAGAACAGACATAAAATAGACCAAAGATCACCATATACACCGGCGCCGAAACGGAAACGACAAACTACTTGCACAAGAACGTGTAGAAGATGTGTGTAGCATGACATGTGCGGTGACAATCATGCGCCCCAGAACAGTCCTTCCACTCCCCGGCCTTGCGCCACTATCCCCCATCCCGCAATCAGGCTCACCAGCCACAGCACCGCAAATGCCAGGATGGGGAGCAGCAGAAGCTCCGTGTTGTGGAGGAATGGAAGCGCATTGTATCCGAGAAATGTGATGTAGGTGTAGTAAGTTATGGCCGACAGGTAAAGGGTGTTCCCCAGGAAGGTGGCCAGGAAGTTGCTCGGGCTGCGCTGGAGCAGCGGGAGGAGCAGGAACTGGACCACGTAGAGATGCAGATACAGAGGGAAGAAGGCCCGATTCGATACCTGATGTATGCGATTAGCCGGTGCTGCTATGTCTCAGTCTGCTGTGAAAGTGTGTCACTTACATCAAAGCAGTATCCAAACTCAAGCTGGTCCTTCTCTCCCGGCTGCGTGAACAGGCCTTGCGCTGCGCCGCGTCTCCGTCCACGACCGCCGCGGAATCCCGTCAGCGATGCGGCTGCGCCATCGGGCCCGAACAACCGTGGGATCGCAAAGTATCCGACTGTCGAGACCAGCAAGGACGAGCCGATGAAGTGAACGAAGATAAAGAGTAGTGAGAGCCGGACAATGGCGCCGAAGGAGGGCGCATACGCGAGTCCCCAGGCGAGGGCGGTGAGCAGGAGGAAGAAAGAGAGGAGGTAGGTGAACGAGGGATCCGGACGGTGCCAGGTGTTTTTCGTTTCTGTACGAGGCCATCAGTATAGGAATCGACGAGTGTGTGTAGGATTCCGGCAAAGCGGGCCAGAACGGCAAGGTGCGGCGTCAGGCGATGACATACGTTTCTGCGGTGAAGCTTGGGTCAGCATAACCAGATGCGCGCTATGGAGCAGGAGGGCGTCATCAACTCACATGGTAATAGATTGACTTGAAGACCTTCTTTGGCGCAATCAACAAAGATGTCATTTCCCAGATGGCCATCTCAAAGTCCATTTGCGGGAACTTGAACAACCTGTAAGCCAGCCAGGGGCATCAGTAACCGGTCGATGAGGATCAGAAAAGGCCATGGATGTCCATTTCATAGACATATCATGCTCTCCAATCACCCCAAAAGCCCCAAAAGGGGGTGGAAGTAGCCTACCTCTTGAAGAATCGCGGCATGCGGATACTAGACCCGCGGCTTGCTGGGGTGGTGCCGCCGAAGCTGGCCGGGCTGGCATGTTGGCGGGGGACGGAGATGTGAGGATTCATCTTCAATGAGTTGATAAGGGGAACCCCAGGTCTTCGGACATGGGAGGGAGAGGCACGGATGTCATGTATCCACTACCTCTAATGGACCCAGGGGGGTTTTGGTTGATTGAGGTGGTGTTGGATGGGGGTGACAATTACGGATCTATTAGCGAATGGAGTTATTGATTGCTTTGCTTGTTGATGATGATGGAGTGGCCGTTGGGTTATGTCATCAGCCTCTTCGGCCCAATTCCCGGATCAACTCTATCCCGAAAGTCCGATCGGTGGATGGAGGCAGAATCATCAGAGACACCAAGAATTAAGTTCACACTTTGGACTGCCGGAGGGTGGAAATACTATCCAGTAAACATCTAGTCTAGTCTATCTGCTGGCTGGCTGATGAAACATGAGAGCCATGCCATCCCCGTAGCTGATCGTCCCTGAACGCCGGTGTATCAAGCGCGTGGCGGCACTAGAACCGCCAGGAAACGGCGATGTATCACATTGCGAGGATTGCCTGTTGAGGACAGGAGCTGCTCCTTAATTTATTCATTTTATTTTAGTTTATTCTATTTTTCTCATGCATGGCTTACATTTGACTGACATTCGGGCGACAGAATTGCCCCAGCTCCGAAACCCGGAAGGTGGGCATGACCACCATCCTGTATGTATGTGACTGGATATGGAGACTGTAGATGCAGTCAGCAGCATGAGTAAATCTCCGGCAACGAGGGAAGAAAAAAGATGCGTGGTGAAAATTGATGCAAAGCCCCCAAGCTGGCCTGATCGCAGAAGCCATCCTTGATCCAACTTGATCCATCTCCAGCATACTGACAAATTCGGTCGCTGCCCTACCTTGGGTGCGATGGAGCTTTGCGATGGGTCACGGAAGACTGGAGCATGGACCGGACAGGGAATCAGTTTCGTATGAAATGATAGATATTATCGATCGGGGGGTGCATGACGGCCCGTTTCCACTTGATCCAGTAGGAACTGAGGAAGTACGGAGTAACTGGCTCCACTTGATGGCAGTCAATTCACTGGGACTGGGAATAATAGCAGGACCCTCCCCAATGGAACCATGCAAGCTGCAAGACAACTCTCCTGGATCGTCCTCTGATAACTAATAGTACAGTAGTTCTGATCCAACCCTGTCAGCATCCATCCACACATTGAACGGAAAGAATAAAGACGTAGATAGTTTGATGTGGGTTAGGGGGAGAAAAAGGGAGACTGAACTCGCAAGCTGGAAGATTGAACCTGCAGGAACTTGGATGCATGCCCCTGAGAACTGACTCTTGACTATCGCGACGGACTCTAGACCCGCAACTAGTGAACGCTACTGGAACTAGTTCGGAAGGTGGACGATGGCAGATGGTCCATCCCTGAACCACGCCAACGACTAAACGTCTGCTTTCTGTCCATGCTTTTTTGCTGCTAACGGAGTAGTACAAGACTACTTTGTGTGCTGTTGGTGCTGGTGCTGCACCTCCTCCTTCTCCGGTGATCCCACTTCGGCCGCCGTTCCTGGGCGCATTTCATCTGCAAGTCCGGGGCTGCTCAGGCATTCAATTCAATTCATTTCCAATTTTTGTCCCTCTTCAATTGCGCCAAAATTCCTGAAGCGTTTCAATCGCTATCCTCCTTTTTCACCTTTTTCTCTCATTTACACACTCTTTGCACTCCCTCCTTCTCTCATCGTGGCGACCCACGATCGTCACCGGTCGGTTCCCGCTTCACACTGGACGGTTCCTTTCCTGTGCGTCTTGCTACCTGTGGTTCGCCTCCAACTTTCCTAGATCGCCTTCTACCTATCTCATTGAATCTCTGGCTAATCTGCCTTACCTAAAAAAGGTTGCAGCAATCCTCCCATAAGGACGTCGGTTTGATCAATCGACTGCCCCCTTACACTACGAAATTTCCCTTTCAACCCCCCTCCCCCTCACGCAATGTGCGACAGGTGATACACACCACCCTTGACTGCGCCTTGAAGACGGTCTGTTCGACTTCTGTGAGACCCAGATCCGGTCCTGAGCACGCGATTCTGTCAACCGGTCCAAAACCCCCCTCCCTCGATTGACTGAGGACGGTGTGCACGGCAAGTGGGCAATCGCCTCAAACTACCTGCTGGTAGAGATCGTCCATGGCCAACGGTGCCCAGGGACTTGGCGACCAATATCCCTAAGGCTCCCCCCTTCTCCCCACTCATTCCGTTCACTACGACGGATGCCAGACGTACTCGATCACCGTTCGTAAAACAGACAGCTGAGCAATCTCAACCATGCCTCAGCAGCACGCCGGCCGTTCTCCCCCTCGAACACCTCCCTCCGAAGCCGTCAACGGAAAGCCTACAAGGAGAGGGAATCATCCGCGACCCTCTGTCCGGGAGACCTTTCTAGATGACTTCAATGCAGCCGACAACACCAACGAGAGCAATGAGTCCTGTGACGAGCGAGATCCTCACGACCTATCGCTGTCTCCGAAGCATGCGGCCCGTACCTCCATCGTCGATAATATGCTCCTCTCCCTAGACCAGTTCGTGGCGGGTTCCTCTGTGCTGGATGACTACCGGCTATTCAATTCGGTTTTCGAAACGGACCTCTACGGCCACGGCTCACCGGACTCGTTAGCCCAACGACGGTATCGTGGACATACCTTTTCGTCCTCCCTATCGTCAGAAGTAGACGGCACATTTGAGGACGGCACGGCCCGCCATGCGTCCCAACTCCCGCGAGGTCGTCGGAGTAACAGCAGCTCTAACTATCATTCCAGCCTGAGGAGATTTGGAAGCACGCGCAGTCGGGAAGGCACCGGCTCACGCGGCCAGCTCTATGACTATCGGCCGAGTTCTACTGCGGCAGCAGGGGCTCATACTGCGAGAAATGGGAGCAAAGGAAGTGCTTCCTCCCAGGTAGACTTCGGTCCGCCTCTGTTACGTCGTCGAGCGGATTCAACCGGCGAGAGACGCTCGGCGAGCTTCGACTTTGGTACTCGGCCGCCTTTCATTCCCTTTTCCGAACCGGTTGCCGACTACGGTTCCTGGTCCTTTAGCGACTTTGACGCAGCCCCTACGCCAAGTATTCCTGGAGGCCCCAGTAAACACCACCCATCTTCGCAAGGGGACTATGCAGGTTCGCTCAGCCTGCAGCAGTCACGGACGCCGGTGGCCTCGCGACGGAACAGTATCAAGTCTCCTCGTGCAAATTCCAACCGGAAGTCTCGCCCGGAGAACATTGGCACGGCCACTATCCGGAGCCGAGATCTCGACCTGGCGAATCTGGGCGATGCAGGCTTAGAGCTTCCGCCTACAATTCCCTCCTCACTCGACCCGCCTGCGCCCAGCCCAACAATCTCCTTCAACAAGCCAATCTTTCCCCCGCCGCCTGAACCAGCGCCGGCCAAGGAACGACCAGGTTTCTTTCGACGTGTCTTTGGCTCCAAAGCTCCCACTTTCGGACCGTCCGATTACAGTCAATCTGATTCCCATTCCGCCCAAGAGACCGACACCAAAGATATTAAGAGCTGGAGACAGCCGCTGAAGCACAGTGGGACAGGGCTCAATTCGGGCCGCGATGGAAACCATCAGGTGGTGACCAAAAAGTCGTCCTTCTTCCGCCGGCGGAAGAAGTCCGTGGCTGAAAGTGCCCCGCCTCCGATCGTGCTTCCTCCGGAGCTGTCGGGCTCCAGGGCAATGGAAATCATGAAGCCGGAGCCGAGTCCGGTCGGTAGCCTGAAAAAGGTGATGAACCCGTATATTATGGATTCGAATGCATCCATGCCGGACCAGGCCAATAAGCCCTCGCAGTCCCGGGCGGCGACAGATGATGCGGAAGCCAAGAATCCAGGAACCACGTCAACGCACAATCCGCGAGGCAGCCTCCTTACAACCTCCGGTCCCCCTAAGGCCAAATACAGTTTATATCCCGCAGTTTCGTCCGCAAATAACAATGAGGCTACATTTTTAGGAAATAGTAGTGGAGATGAAGAGTCCGGATCGAAGTCTAATGGTCAGGATCCCATCGCTCCTGTTGACCGCCAACCAGGTTCAAGGGCATCGCGGGATGGCGTGAGCTCGCGCGGCAGTGATATGGACTCCGTGGATAAAGACCAGGTCTTTGCTTTACCAGGAGGTTTGAAGCCACAGGAGACTGCTGTTTCCTCGCTTTCGCCCGTCATGGAGAGCTTCTCTCAAATGAGCGCTAGTCCCACTCACAGTTCTGATGATGCTCCTGAAGAAACCAAGGAAATTCCTGTCTCTGACGTACGCAAAGATGAGATTGTTGATGGCACGAGCCGAATTTCTACCCCGGCTAATGGTCCGGGCGGTTCGCCGCGGGCCTCCATTTCGGAAATGTCGAACTACTACACGGCATCTGAGAGTGCCGCCATGGGCCCGACGGAGCCAAAACTTGCCGATCTTGCGGAGGCTAGCCCGGATGATATCCCAGCTAGTGAGCCAACTAGTTCGGACAAAGAACAGGCGCAGATGCTCTTTGATAGCCAGGATCAAGTCGTAGGGAATGAGCCGGCTGCGGCTTGGCTGGGCGATCCGGACCGAGCCTTGGTCCGCAAGGCGTACATGGATCTCTTTGACTGGGCCAATCTGAACATCCTGGCAGCCCTCCGAAGTCTGTGTAACCGACTGGTGTTGAAAGGAGAAACGCAACAAGTGGACCGAGTCTTGGATGCCTTTTCCACGCGGTGGTGCGAGTGCAACCCACGCCACAGCTTCAAAGCTTCTGGTTTGTCCACGCCTTTGACTCTGTCTCACTGCTTGATATCTCTCGATCTAACTGCTGTACAGATGTCGTGCACACCATTTGTTACTCGCTTCTCCTGCTGAACACCGACTTGCACCTTGCCGATATCGAGCAGAAGATGACGAAGGCCCAGTTTGTCCGAAACACTATGCCGACAATTCATCGCGTGGCGGCAGATGCTGCACCGGATGGCTTCTTTGACCAGCGCGATGCGAACAAGTCAAAAGCCCAATCACAAGACCCGCCATCCCTTGCCTCGAACTCCAGATCTGCTACCACTGACGACCTTGAACGGAAAACTCCAACTGCTGACAAGCCAACCAATGGCCCTACAAAGTTGGTAAATCGACTCTCACGGACGGATCTCTCGGCCAAGATGATAAGCGATCCTGACAACGACACCGGTCCTCTCGTTAACACTCCGTTCACCGGCACAATGAGAGCGTGGGAGCAACAAGTGGAAATGGTGCTGCGAGACTTTTACACGTCGATTCAGAAGCAGAAGCTCCCGTTGCATGGCGCCCAAGGGGAAAAGGAGCCGACGCGCTCGTCCTCAAACAACCTACTGGGCCCTCACCCAGGTGGACTCCGCAGGAGCCCGAGTACAGTAAGCAAAAGTGGCTCAGATATCTATCCACGCGGCCGCTCTGCCGATTCCCGTTATGGAACGGCACGCTGGTCTTCCAAGCCCAGGTCTCGAGCCAGACTGTATCCACCTTCTACGATGGGCTCTAGCCGGACTAGCTTGGATGACCAGTCTTCCCTCTGGAGTCCGTCGGCATCCAGTACGTGGAGCAAGTACTCTTCGGGGAAGTTGACCTCTGCGTCGGTGGATTCTTTCAATTCAGATTATCCACGTGGGGATTATCAACAATCGATCGGCTTTGCCAATGCCTTGAGTCAGGCCATTATCCGTGAAGATTCGGCACATTCGATAGCCAGCTTCGAAGACGCCGAGCGGAACACGCCCCTCCTGGAAGATGAGACTCTACAGCTTGCGGGCGCCCCCTGGGCTAAGGAAGGAAGCCTTAAGCACAAGCATCACTTGGATTCGGTGGATAAGAGGGCTAAAGACCGCAACTGGAATGAATGCTTTGCCGTCATCCAGCAAGGTTGGATGCGCCTGTTCTCCTTCAACGCGTCCATGAAATCAGTACGGCAGAAGGCCAAGCAACGGCATCCTGGCGGCGTCGTGGTGGGAGGAGGCAACTGGACGGAAAATGCGGAAGAAATCTGGAAGTTTCTTTTGCGTCAAACCATTGCCAGCGCGCTGCCACCTCCGGGGTATTCCAAGTCTCGTCCGCACGTCTGGGCCCTGAGCCTGCCCACGGGCGCCGTACATCTGTTCCAAGCCGGCACGCCAGAAATCGTTCGGGAATTCGTGTCCAGCGCCAATTATTGGAGCGCGCGACTATCCAAGGAGCCTTTGATCGGTGGCATCAGTAACATGGAGTATGGCTGGAGCGATGCAGTCATTAACAGCGCCCTGATCTCGGCAGAGAGCAGCCGGACTCCTCCTTCCTCGTCAGGGGCGCGACCGAGCATCCAGAGCTCGATCCGCAGCTCTATTGATCAGCAGGGGGTCCGGCCTCGACTGCCGGCAGATCGGGTGCACATTAGCGATTGGGCCCCTCCGCAACAGAGCATGATGGCGTCAGCTCTTCCAGAAGACGAACAGTTGAAGGCCCTGCAGACGTATGTTAAGAATGTGGAGGAGGAATTGCAACGACATAATGAGCTTCGACCCGCCATGATCCTTGCCTTCTCGCCGCGGCACCCCAATGCGGCCAAGGCGTTGGCCAACTGGGAGCGCAAGTCGTCGTATCTGCTGCGGGAGATTGTGAAGTTCCGGACCTACATTGACTCGCTCTCCTCGGCCTTGGAGCAGAAGAAACGAATCTATACCAACCGGGAAGAGAGCACCCCTGTCGAGTAACCTGCTTAGAGAGGTGCACGAATCCTGCCCGACGTCATACTATCGAGCTGGCTCTCGGGGGTTGAGGGCGAGGAGCCCCAGGGAGCTTAGATTTCTTTGATTTGCTTTGTATACCCAACCCAGCTTTAATCACTTCCCCATTCACTTCTTTGTCTTTTCGTTGGAATAAAAGAAAAGTCTCCAATTCTAGAGTGCACGAATTATGCACCCCTCTGGGTTCCCTTCTACTTGTTTTATCTCTTGTCTGTGCGACTCTCTGTGACCCTGATCGTCATGTACTTACTGTCTTTTGATTTCTCCTTTTGATCCGGTTTTGACGAGATTTACGAGACTGGTTGCCATGAAGTAAGAAATTTCAGTGAAACCTTCTAGGGTCCAACCCTGACATTTAGCAGTACAAGACAATCCGCATCTATTTATTGATCCCAAAGTGAATGAAGTGTTAGATCTATGGAAGACGTAATAGAGTCTTATACTGAGTTAGTGACTTCTTGGTGTACGGGACCAACCGGG